TAGCAGCAGCAGCAGCAGTAGTAGTAGTAGTAGTAGTAGAAGCAGTAGTAGTAGAAGCAGCAGTAGTACAAGTAGAAGCAGTAGTAGTAGTAGCAGCAGCAGCAGTAGTAGTAGCAGCAGTTGTAGTTGTAGTTGTTGTAGTAGTAGTAGTAGCAGTAGCAGTGTTGCCCCCTCTGGCCAACACTCTGCACACACCACATTCATCTTAGGCTGTAGTTGTTGATATTGTAGTATTTGTATTAGTAGTATTAACAGAACTAGTGACATTTAAGGACTGTAGGTAAGCAGTACTGGCAGTATAAGTCCAAAGGGGTAGTCTTCCACCTCGTATTTGCCGTGGATCGTATGACCACCCTTAAAGATCCTCTCATGCATACCTGGTCTTAGTCTGGATCCATGAGGAATTTGACACAGCCCGACTGCTATAGTAAACACACGTGAAGGGAATGAGCCCAATAGATGGCTTTTTATCACTGCACCTGAGTTTAATTAGTCTAAAAAAGATCAAAGGAAGAAAGACGCTTTAAAGATGTATTGTGTAACTTTTCTGGTGGAGGGTCCGTCACCTGCTTGTTTCTTCGGATGTGTCGCTGCCTGGAATGTTCCACAATTTGACGTTAAATCTGTTCAATATCTATATAGCTCAAAAATACCTAGAGAAAATGGCATTCTGACTGTGAGTGGGGTTGCCTCTCCACAGATCTGACCTGTAACTTGGTCTGTTTTAGTGTCCATGAAGATAGAAAAGTTTAATACCATATTGTGAAACATTCCAGGCATAGCAATAACAAAAGCATTTGACAGACCCTCCTCTAGAAAAGTTACACAATGCACCTTTAAGCCTTTAAGTGCTGAATGGAGAGGGGATTACACTGTTTTTATCCTGATCTTGTTATTTTTTTGTTCGCTGTTTGTCGCAAATGGACTTTGGGGGAAAAACAGTCTAATGGATAAGCACATGCTGTACACAGATATGGAGAGGAGTGTAGCTTTGATGTGAAGTGGCTTTATCTGTGCAGTTTGGCTGAGGGCTGTCATATGGTACAAAGATCTCTGTCAAATCTCCATAGGTTTGTCGTAGCACACATTTTCAGCTATTATATTACTTCAGCTATTTTGGTTATTTTTTATTTCTCATAAGTTTTTTGCTGTGCATTTATTTAAACAGAAATTTGAAGACATGAAGATAAGACAAAAAAAAAGTTTATTCATCCCACAGTGAGGAATTTATACTCAGAGGAAAAAATCATTAAATTCCATATAATTATTTTATGTTGATCCAAAAACAGTCATTTAGATGTTAAGTTGATCAATTGAAAGGTAGTGTATTACACAAAATACACATCTAAAAATCTACCTGGGGTTGTCTACCTGTCTGTCTACATCTCCAAAACTCAAACTGCACTGTTCCACCTTGTGATATCAGTAGCAGTATAGGTTTGAAGTAGAGCCCGACCGATATATCGGCTGGCCGATATTATTGGCCGATGCTTGCTGATATGGGCCGATATTTCACGTGGGCATGTTATACCTCGTTATAATGCTTAAACTCTCTACATTATGTTCATTTAATCCAATTTACAGTCAGATAAATGTCCTAATATGTGGCTCCACATCAGTATTTATCTGCGGTGTAATTTGTCTGTGTCCATACTGTCCCTGAACACACCCCCAGGGTCACCACTTCACTCACGTGCTATTGTTTACACCCGCAGCAGTGCGCAACACTGAGATTATTTCTTTTTACGGACAGTCGGTTTGAGTCTGGATTAAAAGGACATTTATTAGAGCAGACTTGTGATGTGAGGAGGAGCCTGTGTGAGCGGTGAGTGTTGGAAATACACCGACTTTGAAGCTAGTTTTCGCTATTTGTTATTAGCGATTAGTTGCTGTAGCTCCCACACATAAACAGGCTGTTTTCTATTGGTCTATTGTAAAGTGACTATATTGGCCGTATATTTGTTACTGGACCAGCATTGATATGTAAATGAGTTGTGAATAGACGTGTGAATGATCCACATTTATGCATATAATTAATTACTGCGGCGCACACCTTTTTACAGCTAAAGGCTAATAGCGGTAGTTTATTTACTAGCTAGGAGTTATGGGTCGGTCGCGATCGAAGCGGCTCTTAGATCCGGCTCTTTGAAGCGAACAACGGGAGCATGTTTCTTATTGGGAGCCGTGTTTTCTCTTTTTCTCACTTTTTCTCTTCAAGCCGCTTGTAGACCCGTAGTTTGACAGCAGCAGCGGCTGAAAACGAAACTTTCAGAAATCTGCGTGTGCATAGGATAAAAAAAAAAGTGCATATTTGGCTGCAGTTCAGCATAAAATGAATAAACCAGGACTAATCTTGGGCTCGAGTCAGGGAGAGACCAAGTCCCGACACTCAGTCCTGGTTCAGTTCTGGTTTAGTCCTGTTTTACACATGCTTTAAATCTGTTTTAGTCCTGGTTTACTCCTTTTTCAGTCCTGGTTCAGTTTTGGTTTAGTCCTGCTTGCAGCAAAACAATCTCAAGAGTCGCTTGGGAGCCGAAAGAGCCAGCTGCTTTAGTGAGCCAAGCCAAAAGAGCCGGTTCTCCAAAAAAAAAAACTGGAATACCCATCAGTAGTAGCTAGAATGTGATGCAAAAATGCCATTAGGCCAATCTACTGTCGGTAAATATGGTGTAAAGAGTCAGAATAACAAATGTTGCCTAAATAAACCCAATTTAGAATCCACTAGAGCCAAACCTAAGTTTTTTAAACAATTCAAGATTTACAGTGAATTTTTACATCACTAAATATATCGGCGATTATATCGGCTATCGGCAGCTCCAACTCACATTATATCGGTTTCATATCAGCCACAATAAAATCCATATCGGTCGGGCTCTAGTTTGAAGTTATCAGCTACCTTTTACCTTTTGTTCAGTGTAGATTGGCAATTACAGAAATCATGCAAATGACTCCACTGAAGGTGTATGGAGTTTAAAAACACAGTGGAACACTTCCTATATTAACACTTGACATCCTATGGTGGAGCAGAGTTTAGTTTGAGAGAAGAACTCCGCCTGAATATGCAGGGTTTGTGTTAAACATGTGTGAATGAAACAACACAACTCCAGGTATGTTTGTGTTAAGGAAACAACATTTTGGTTTGTGATTTCTTTTTTCAATTTAAATATATTTTTTATTCTTGGTTTTGACATCAGATTTAAAACAAATCATTATGGAATTACTCTGTGGTAAAACAAATTTTCATCATCTGTTTTGCATTAAAAAAGAAAACTCAATACTTTATATGGGATCTCTTTTAAACCCAGTTCCACTACTTTAGAAACACATGTAGAACATTACTTTCTCAATCTCAAGTAACAACTTGAGGGCCAAAGTGACAACAAGTTTGGACAATTATCAAAACCCGAGAGACTCATAAATAATTTGAATTTATTTGTAATACATAAAAGCACCAGCCACAGGGGAAATATGAAAAATCCCTACTATTTTACGAGCATTTGTAAATAAAACACATTGTAAAATTTTAAACGAAATGTTTTGATTAAAAAGTCTTCAGGCCAAAACTGCTAATGTTGTTTACACATAAATATGAAATAAGCAATAGTTATTGTGTTTCTACATATAGGTAGGAGCACAGCTGTGTCCCTTCCAGCCACGGATTTTGGCCTGACGTTTGTTATGGAAAGATATGTGAGCGCTTTGTGTTGTGGGAGGTCTGCAAGTAAAATTATGCAATCTCTGACTCTTTCAAATCAAAGTGAGTCATCTTATTGCCATTTTGCAGTCAATCACAGGAACAAACAAACAAAACAAATAATGTTGAACAAATGAATAGTAATGAACGTGGTATTTTTTTCTTTCATTTCAGATGGTGCATGAGGAGGAGTACTGTTTCACAATGGCCTGAGACGATACTACAGACTGTAGAGATATGGGAATAACTAGGCTGTGTATATGACTGCAATTTTTATATTTTTTCCTCATATTAATCGATCACAATTTTTTATTACATTTTCGATTGCATGGACTTCACTATTCATTTCCTGAACATAAACAAGACATATTTTTAATATTTGCACAAACAGAAATTACTGCTCTCAATTACAGTTCAATTAATTGCACAGGCTGAATCTAAGCATCGATTTTGCACTCACTTTTTGACCATTTAAGACCAAATCCAGTGAGTGAAAACATGCCGATTTGAACAATTTGTTTGTATTATGAGTCATTGAGTTAGATTAGAGCAGCTTTGGAGCCAGTAACACAATCGGGTTGGTATTGTTGACATGTTTTCCACTTTGAAAAATATGGTTAGTTTATATTTGCAGGACATTGTAAGGCGTCTATCTACAAGTGGCTATCTGTGTACGATTATGAAGACTTTACTTGTCAGTTGATAAATTGGTGAAAACCCTAAATCAATGAAATGTCCTGTTTATTTGAATAATAGCCTCTTAACAGCTTGGAGTTGAAGGTTTCAGTCTGGACTCTTTCTACAATGTCCTTTCAAACAAAACCAAATGCCAAAAACAAGAATTTAAAGCTATCAATGGTTTTCTTCAAATTTTCAGTTATAGAAGCATGCTCTTTTTGCCATGGTTCCCTGAGCATAGTTCAAATGATTCAAGGAAAATTTAGGGAAACAGTTATCATACTAATCTTTGATCTTTGAACTGAAAATCTGACTTTAAGATTATTTCTTAGAAAGCGAAGAGAAGAAGAACAGCACAAGATTTAAAATGGAAATTTGGACAGGTGTACGTGCTCTGCAGTAAACTATTTTGTTGTGGCCAGGAACTTACTTTTGAAAAACTCTGCTGTCTGCATATAACTGAAAATGTCTCTTTAACACAAGTTTAAAAAAAAAGTATTATTTTCATAGATTTCAGCTTCCTGTTTATACACAACATTTGGAGAATTTTCAAAAAAAATATAGGCTTTAGTTTTTAATTGTTTATTTCTATGGCAACTGTGCTCATTTTTAATCACTCTGAAGCCCAAAGATTCCATCTTTTGATATCACTTTCTATCAGTCTCACATTGTATAGGATAGTTTATTTCCATTACGTTAGCTTCATTTGCTTTTGGAAATTTGTATGTTTATACTGTAGTGTTATAAGACTCAGTGGTTTGCCAAAAGTCACTGTGTTTCTGCACCTTGACATCTATGGGCTCCAGTCTGTTGCCTTCGTGGAGCAGTCCCATAAAAACGCCCTTAATTCCTTGTTATCTCACTTCCTGTTTAGCTTCTTTACCCACATCAAGCCTCTACGAAAATCCACTCGTGCTTTCTCAGTTCAACATTTAACTACTAAATACAAGTTGCAGCAATTTGTACAACAGCGTGTTTAATATTGTTGTGTATTTTATATTTATTTGTGGCATCAATTAGTTTCAGTTCTTCTATACAGCTATCTAACTATACAATTGCAGTCTATCAGCATTCAAGAGTTTATAGAGCAGCATACATATGAAATCAACAAATAATTCTAATAAAATCTTATAGCAATTTCAAAAAAAACTTTACTGACCAGCACAAGTGACTTTTGGCTGCTCTTTATTCTCCCTAAGGACAAAATCTTGCTCATTTTAGTTTTGGCTATAGACATGTATTCCCAGCTTTCCTTTTTTCAATATTACAGATTGTCCGAGAATTTCCTGGATCCCAAAACTCATACACAAAGTTCTTGGGGGCTTGATTCCTTTGAGAGAGACACGAGCAAAGGGTTAACTTGAGCAGACTTGTGTTCCCTCCCGCTTCTCCTCATGACGTTATACCACTCACAGTTTGGTCGGCTGAGGCCAAGCTGGAGCCAGAGAGAGGAGGGACTGACTCGTGGTGGTTCGTAGCTGCTTTCAGTGACTCCTCTCTGGGCAGTGATTTGCTCCTGGCTGGCCTTTTCGCTCCATGGGACTCCAGAGCTGGACATCTGCCGTACCACTGTCCCCTATGGCTTGCCTTCAAGTGGAGACCCCCCCAATCTGCAGGGGCAAGTTCAAAACAGGTACTGACTTATCATGATTTTCAAAGAGAACTTTTTCATTGATATTAATATGTTTGCAGAGAAGTTTGGGCTGACCAGAAAATAACAGGGCAGTTAAACCATCAAACCAAGCTTACGCATCTGCTCTCCCTCAGTTAGCTCTGTGTTAAAAATACACTTTGGTTTCTTTGTAATGCAGTGTAATATATAACTTGTTTCTTCTGAAATACTGACAAATTAGTCATCAATTACTTTCATTCTAAGTATTTGTACATATTGAAATAGATATTGTACATGTTTAAACACTATTTCACTTCACTATCATTTCAACATGACAAGGTTAATTCAAATTGGTGATTATTACTTCTAATTAAACTGTGAAATAGGTTGAGCAATGGTAATTTTGTACAGGGTGTACTTTTTACTGGTCCCAAGCCTGGTTAAATGATTCAATATTATGTCTATTTGTTAAGTCTTTTATTAGTTACTCATTTTGATTCTGATTTCATGTTTTATTTTCTCCTGCTGTTCTTGAACTTTCTGTTTCAATACTGTAATTACCCAACTGTGGGACAAATAATGGTATTAATTATATCTTGTATTAAAGGGGGAAGGACATCTAGTTTATATACTATGTCAATTATAGAAGGATAGAAGGAAGAATATGTAAATCCTGTAATGCTCAACACTACTAACCCCATGAGAATAGCAGAAAAAACGAAGCTGTTTAATTGAATATTATTCAATTTCAGCCAATTAAACAAAAACAAAATTTTTTAGCATAGCACATTGCCTTTCATTTTTCTAAAGACACTTTCTTTATTATGATGTAATCACAGTTTTATCGTTGGTCTAAAAATAGCTGTAACGGGCAAAGAAGTGAGTGTGTGAGCACTGGACACGCCCACTCACTTGTGTTGAAAGCTGTAACCAAGGAAAAAGTAATGCCCCCATCTAATGTGCCCACAAACAAGCCAGCTCTGTGTGATTAGGTTTAAATAACAAAATAATGCTTTGTGTTGACATTATTTATCATTGAATCAGGGCCATTTGTCATTTGGTTGCCAAGCACACAGTTAACTGATAAAAGGGGATTATGGGCAAACATATCTACATAAGTGGTGGCAAACAGATTCAGAAATATGAGAGGCATGAGAAAGTTAATACGCTCAATAATGCTGTTTTCCGATAAGTGTATCTAGAATTGATTAGGCATTTGTGGTATGACACTCAAATTTTAATCTTTCAGTTCAGGGTTATAGTGCAGCCAACATAAAAACACAAAATATACTGTCTGTCACCTAATACATTTAACACAATGTTTGGAATGGCAAAGTGCAAAAATCTATTATTAAAGGTCCTATATTATGCAAAATTGACTCTTGTGAGCTTTAATTAATTAATTAATCATTAATTAATTAAACATTGCATTTATATATAGCTCATTTTATGAGAACCAAAGCACTTCACTGAGTACTTTGTTCATTCCACACATGGGTGATGGTAAGCTACTGTTGTACCCACAGATGCCCAAGGGTAGACTGACAGAAGCGAGCGCCATCGTCCCCTCCGACCACCACCGTCATTCACATACACATTCCACTTTCTTAAGTCATGTTATAATGTTGTTATCTCATCAAAAACATATCTGGAGTTGTGTTTTGTATAATTCACACATTTGCAACCCTTTTGTTGTTAGTCTGTCTACATCTATAAAGCTCAAAATGCTCTGTTCCACCTTGTGATGTCATGAAGCAATAGTTTTCAAGTTAACAGTGACCTTAAATTATCCAAATTATTCTATTGAAATTGTATGGAGTTTAAAAACATAGTGGAGCGCTTCCTGTATTACCACATGACATCACAAGGTGGAAGTTTTCTATATGAGAGAATTATGCAGGGTTTGTGTGTTTAATGTGTGTGAATGAAAACAAAACACAACTCCAGGCATGTTTATGATGAGGAAACAACATTATAACAGATCAGAAAATAGTGAAATGCGGGGCCTTTAATAAAAGAGTGCTTCAATTTTATTACTTATAATTACTTGGTTTCACCGTAGGACTAATTCTCTATTATAACATTTGTAGCCAAGCAATGATTTAGATTGACAACCAAAAGCAATAATATTTTTTCTTGACCTGACCGTCACATACCATATATTTTTTTTTTTTTCTCTCTCTTTTTGTTGTACGGTATGAATTGAATAAGTAAAAACAACATTCACATACAATAAAGTCAGATGTAGCTTGCACGTGCATGTAGGTTAAGGCATGTGCACTCCATACATCTTTATATTAGGCATACTGGAGAGTTATGGCTGTGCTCCACTCTGAACCATGTATCAACCCTGTATACACTGATTTGTAATATCCCTTTTGTATTTGTTTTTCTCTTGATAAATCGTATTAATCTCCACTAAATAGAGTTGTATTTGGCAGTTTTAATATTTATAATCAAAAAGTCAGCGGTGTCAGCCTAAACTAACATACGCTCCGTCATAACAGCATGAGAGCAAACCACACCAAACATATTTCTAGTAGTATTTGTCTTTCTTTAGAAATATCAAATCAAAATATCAAAATCAAATGGAAAACATCCAGGATCTTGGTCTGGGATCGGAGATTACATCAACTGCTACCTTGTGTTTACCCTGTGGTGCGATGAGGCAGGCAGGTTGCATCATTGGAAGTTTAACCAGGGTTTAGGTCTGACAAGTGACCCTCGAGTTGACCCCCAGGGAGGAAAATATATGCATAAATGAAACTCTGCATTCTTATCTTGTTTTCAATATAAAGTTAACCCCATGAGGCATTCATTATTGTCAAATTTGATAGGGATACAGATAAAGCCAGTATTAATGCTTATTTTGATGTAATGCTTAGTTAAAGGAAGCTCAATGATCCAAGATTATGTAGTAGTTTTAGAGATGATTTGTTTCACTTAATCAAAAATTTGGGAACAATAACAACTTATATCAGTAACTGAGAAGTTAAAGGTGTAGTAAATAACACTTAAGTAGTTAGTTTGTATTTATAATGAGTCATAAAAGTTCATAATTCAACACTCTACAGCTCAAATAATATAATAACAAAAATAAACAATATTCTTCCACTAATATAAAGAAAATTTACCCATGATAAAGACTGACCCCCAAAAATGTATGTTCCATCTGTCATGTATTGAATGATAACCCAATGTAATAATTATCGTGACAGGCCTAATTTCACGTGCATACAGACTTTTACTACTTCCACTTCTACAGTCAAAACAAGCAAATTGTGTCCACTGCTCCCATAGCTCTGCTGGTTGTCGTCCCCCAACTACCCACCAGTCCACGGTCCTCTTCCTGCCCTCTTAACTGCCCCTAAATTTGGCGGTTCCCAGGCCTTGTTCTCACAGCTGCCCCGTTTATTTTTGCTGTGTGACTCAGTGAGACTTGTTCAGACACAGAGTCCCTCCCTGGAGACTGGAGAGGGAGGCGCTGTTTTCCCTTAAATACTGTATAAACCAACCAAGCAATGCAATTGGTAATAATAAAGAGTACATTGTGTATACATTGGGCTCTTTAATAATGACACAGTTTTATGAACACTAGATGGAAAAGACCAAGTGTGTTACATAATGTAGTTCTTTGCAAACAAGTACTTTTTGTATGTGTTTGTGTTTGTTTCTGGACTGTGACTTGGTGGTATAAGTGAAGTGTTTTTCTTCAGTTCTACACATTTAAGGGGTTGGTAGAATCTTTGTCCACTGATCCAAAGGTTGGCAGTTAAAATCCCCCGCTTCACATAAACATCATTGGTCAGATCCACTGATGATGTGATTCAACTTCCACAGATAAATGCTGTTGTTTTGTCTTTGTATTAACCCACCTTGGTCCCAGTGTTTGTGTACACTCCTGTATGAGTGTGGGTGAGCATTCCTAGAAATAGGTGGAAAAGAACTATATAAAAATGTGACCATTTATAATAAGAGGGTTGTGGCACTTTAAACTCTGTAATTACTGTAGTGAATTTAATAACAGAATATATTAAAATTTTACAGTTTTAGTTACTGTAGATACTAGTGTTTTGTTTTTTGTTTTGTTCATGGCTGATGCCAAGCAACCTATGCTCAGTAAACTCAGACAATATTTTGAGACTAATGTGTGCATAGATTATATATAAATGGACCTGTTTACAGTCTATGGTGCGGAGCCAGTTCCCTAAATTAGATCAAAATCTTCATCTAAAATTTTTATGCTAAAAAGGGCAAACTGTGGGCATTTATATCAGTCTGCCATTATACTGGTCTAACTCTAATCACGATGCCACTATCAGTTGTGTTGTTGTTGATATAACACTTGTTTAGTGCCAGCGGTTTTTCTTCAGTGAGGTTTTTAGTTCATTAATCTTTACCATTTGTCACTTTACTCCCTTTGAAACAATTCAGGGATTAAACCTGTTCATTATAGAAAAATAGCTTGTATATTAGTTAGGATTACCACGTACTTCAGCATTGGACAGTTCATTTATTCCGTATATCCTTTTTTGCTTTTCCATGTACTTCCTTATTTTGTTTTACTTAATACTTTCATGTGTAATGCAGTGCCCCAGTACAGTTATTTATGGTTATGACATCAGCTTGGCCTGGAACTACAACCAAATTCTAATCACTCCAACATTACAAAACTATTATTAGTAGATGATCTAATTACTCAGAAGTTAGAAACTAAAACAATATTACGTCTGCTAATTGTATCGGATTGTGTGATATCATCATTGAATCATTACAAATACACGATTACACTTGAGATTTGATAAAAGGTCCAACAATAAAACTGATTTAGTACAAAAGTGTGCATGCAAACTTGGACCATTTCTCCTGCAGTGAGAGCATTGCCAAAGCTGCACCTCATTTATCAGAGAGGCCTTCTTTTCTAATCCGTGTTTTTGTCTTGAATCATGTCCGCACTGCTTTGTTTATCAATGTTTTAACTCCACTCTCTGCCTAGTTTATATTGACTGGAGAAGGCTGTACGTGTGGCCCCAACTTTGATGTTCAGCTATAACTTATCAGCTGTAACTGTGCATAGCCAGACCCTGTATTGACCAGACATGCGTCACAGAGCTATCATCAAAAGCATTAGAAGTTTCTTAATCTTGAATTGTTGAGGGAATTTAATTTGTGATGGATAGAGATATTAACTTTCACTCTAGTTAATGATAATCTGTTTTGTCCAGTGTTTTTTTCTTTTTTATATTCTTTCAACACAGCAATTATGTTTTGACTAGTCTGTAGTGATTTGCATTGGGTTCATGGGAGAAGTCCTTGATTTGAACTAAGGATGTCACAATATTACATTTAAGTTTTCATGGGAGATTAATCTGAGAAGAAACATGCCAATTTCACCATTGTTCACACATTTTTCATTTCCCTTTGTCTAATTACATTACCATTACTCACATATGTGACTAGCTTTATTAAATCTAACTTTATGAATTATAAAGTAAAGTTATTATGACTAAAGGACTAGATTAAAAAGCTATTTATATGTAAAGGTCCTATATTCAGCGAAATTGACTTTTGTAAGCTTTAAGACATGTCAGAATGTTGTTTTGTTCACAAATGCTTGAGTAAGCCTGCATTATTAGTCTGTCTGTGTCTCGAAAGCTCAGAATGCTCTGTTCCACCTTGTGATGTCATGAAGCAGTAGTTCTCAAGTTATTGGCTACCTTTTACCTTTAGTTCAGATACTGACAATTCCTGGGCCGAAATGATCCAAATGATACTAGTGACGGTGTATGGAGTGGAGCACTTCTTGTATTACCACATGTGTGAATGAAAGAAAATGTTTTTGATGAGCAAACAACATTATAGCATAGATCAGAAAATAGTGTAATATGGGCCCTTTAAGAGTATTGACTGAAACAAAAATTGAGCCATCTTTATATATTTAATTGGAACCAGCACAAAAAGCACACTGGCAGCTATATGCTCTATTGGCTTATAATATGTTTCTTTGTTTGAACCTATTTGAAAATGTGGTTAGTAACTTAATATAAAGAAAACATATCTGATTACCAGTTGATTTATTTGATTTGTTTTTGTGTTATTTTCCTATTATTTGTGTCTTGTAGTTCTTCAGTTGTGTCTGCAGCAGAGACGAAGTCGAGAGCAGCTGGTTGAGCAGGGCATCATGCCACGTGAGTAAGATTTAAAATACAGTCTCCTCATAGTCTATTCGCCCTTAATATGTTGTTGTTTTCTTATTTAAATATTTATGATGTTTCATAATAAAAATAATCAAACTAAAGCAGTAGGTATGTGATAACAAAAATAGCATACTTAGACAAACAGTTGCATAAAAATAAAAACTGTATTGTTGAGTCTCCACTTCATATTTCATATTAACACAACATCGTCTTACATGCACAATTGTCCATTCTTCTCTCTTTCCACATTTTCAATGTCAAACTGTTAATTTCCTTCCCCATTTGCAAAATTGGGTGCACACATGTCACCAGTCCAGTATCATAGTTTATAGCCATTCAAATCATTTTAGTTGATAAAGAACCACTGAACAAAATGTTGTCCTAAACCAATAAAAAACTAAAAATATATATCAGTGTCAGGTCATGTACTCTTTAAGTATAGCAAATGCATCAACTGATACTTTGCAGTGACATCACGCTGGGGGTGTTCTACATACATCTCTGTTAGGGGAATGTTCAGCCATTTCCATGGTAACACCATGGAAATCTTCTCTATCTGGTCAGAATGTAAAACTCAGATTAAAGTCAAACTTAATTAAAAGATGTTCTAATAGAATAGTGCTTCTAGTTAGCATCACGTCTCCAGGAAATGATGATGACATCAGCTGTAAAGTATCAATGACTGTATGCTCCAATATTTTGCTCTAAAAGGATGAAAAGCTACAGATGAAAAAACAAAATTAGAATTTGAAAGCACTTGACTGTTCATTTTCTATTAATATTTTGCACGATGATGTAATACCTGCACCAGTGCCAACATTTTGAAGAAGTTAACTCCTTTTTTCAATTACAGCTTCTTCCTTTTCCTTAAACTATAACTGTGATGGTCAGACTTTAGCACAACTGTCATTAGTCATAGGTTTGTTCCAAAAGAGGAAGTCTACTTTCACCCCTATGAACCCCTCTAAGTTAGACTGTTCCTCTGTGCAGTCTCCTCTTGTGAGCTTATGTCAGGTATGTGCTGAGGTCTCTGCTCCATCAGGAATGTTTTGGTTTCAGAGCTGACACACTCTTCACCCCCCCCCCACCCCCACCCCCCCCCCTCTCCGTGTCTGTCTCTCTGTCTATCTGCCTTTCCCCCTCTCTCTCTCCCTCTCTGTCTCATTGCCCTCTCTTCTCCTCCTCTCTCCGTCTCTTCCTCTCCTCCTCTCTCCCTGTCCTCCTTTATCCCTTTCCCCTCTCTCCATTTCTCTCTCCCGCTCCCCCTCTCACACTGTCCTAAAGCTAACAGCCCCCGTCCCAGCAGAGGTGACGAGGCAGACTGTAGCGATGACACGGTTATTACTAATCGCAGAGGCAGTCACTGTATTGTCGTAGTTTTATGGTTAAACAGGAACTACTGATGACTGTTGGAGCAAATACAATGTATGTGTTTCTCTGGGATTATTCTATATATATATATTTTGGTAACACTTTATAATAGCTACACTTTTTATTAGCTTTAATAAAGCATGAACACTTCAGACTTAATTCATAACGAACAAATTGCTTATTAAAGGTTCTATTATTCAAAACTGACTCTTGTGAGCTTAAAGCCATGTCAGAATTACTTCATCGAAAACATACCCGGAGCTGTGTTTTGTTTCATTCACACATGTTTGCGTAATCCTTTATTATTAGTTTGCCTACATCTTCAAAGCTCAAAATGCTCTGTTTCATGCAAGGTTTGAGTGTTAAACATGTGTGAATGAAACAAAGCACAACTCCAGGTATGTTTCTGATGAGGAAACAACATTATCATTTTAAGAATGAATCAGTGACTACGTAATTAATCATTAGCCCTAGCACCTAATCCCTTAATTAAGTTGTTACAGTGTGTGTGTGTCCATGCTGTATTAAGGTTAATTAAGATGTAGTTATTGAAAAGTGGTACTTTTTTTTTTCTTTTTCTTTTTTTTCTTTTTTTTTTTTGTTCAAATCAAGCCACTGTAGTTTCGGGCTAGTCCCAAATTAAGACCTCATTTCCTGGTTCATGGGAGAAGATTTGCATCATCAGTCACGGAATGAAAAAGACACATTTTACTTAGACACATTTCAGTGCAACAAACCTTCAATATCCAGTAGATCATACACAATCATTGTAATATTGGTAAAAATAAATAACTCTCAGCACATCCTGTTTCAGTTTATACATGCTTAGAGAGGAAAAACCAAAAGCCCATTGATTATAGACTGTGGGTTTTTAATGACAGCATTTAAGCAAAGGTCAAGTTATCTTTGACGTGACATCATTACATCTTTGTTGTGGCTAATACGAATCTATGACTCATGATAAAAAATATAATACTTGTTGGTTTTTTTAGCTCTGAAAGCCCCAGCTGTTTTTCATGAGCAGATCCGCAGCCTGGAGAGAGCTCGGGTGAGTCTTTAACTAACACTGTATCGTCAACAAAACAAACATTGATCATGAGTTGTGTTTAGACTCATGTAAGAATTAATGACTTTTTATTGCAGACTGGGACTTTCCTGAAGCATAAACTGTGCAGTCGACCTGAGCGCTCTGAACTGGTCCGCATGCACATCCTCCAAGGTAATTAACATCACTGCTTCTGATAAGGCCACACCAGTTAGGGCCCTATTCAGACAACTGGTTTACACTGATTCATGAGAAATGTATTGGAAGGAAAGATTGTATTTTCCGTTACAGACAAAAGATTTTTTTCATCTCCATGGTGAAGTGAATTTGACTTAGGTGTAGTTGTGGGTAGAAGTTGTATTAGTAATAATATTAGTTGTATAATAGCAGCAGTAGCAGCAGCAATAATAGTTGTAGTAGTAGTAGTAGTAATTGCTGTAGTTGTATATTTCAGGGCGTAGGCCTATTGCTTCCGCTCAGCGGACGAATGGGGAGCGACGTGCGCATGTCGAATGCGACAAGACGACATGCAACTTGTCCACGGTCGCCCCCAGCACAAACAGCAGTATCCCAGTAACCCACGCCCAAGGCCTGCCTCATATTTACTACTGCTAAAATGAATGAAGTCAATGGAAGGCCATGGGTGACCTCGACGAGATGGCGAATGACGAGCGCCTCAGTGCCCGTCACTCACCAATGACCCCACGGTGACGTGGGGAAGGTCGAGAGCTTTCAAAAAACGTATAATATGTTGATCTAAAGTTTTCGGATATATTGTTTTTGCTCGAATTATTATTATTATTATTTTATTATTATTCTTCTGCTCTTTGAGCTCTAATTTGACCCCCTAAACACGTTCAAAAACTCACCAAACTTGGCACAATATTCAGAAGTGGCGAAAAATTCGATAAAATATAGGTTTCGTACACGGGCATAAAAAAATGGCGACACAGCGCCACCTGGAAAACTCAAAATTTTGGCGTCTATGGGAGACGTCCCGGTCAACTTTGTCGTAGAGCCACGAAATTCGGTACACACATTCGTCATGTGAAGACAAACAAAAAATATTATTATGGCCACGCCCCCTGACAAACCAGAAGGCGGCCATCTTGGATTGAAATTTCAGTCCGCATTTTCGCTGTCATTGCGTTTGAACGAACTCCTCTGAAGGTGCTTCACCCACAGGCCTGAAAATCACCGTACATCATCTAGACAAGTGGAACATCTAAAGTTAGCTGATTTTTTTTGATAACTGTTACGGTTTACGTGCGGCGAAGCCGCAAATTTCGGTAAAAATTTCGCCTAAATTCAAGGTGACATTATTTGTTCCTGTTCACACAGACTTAGTCCGATTGTGCTGAAATTTGAATCACTAATGTGTGATCTCAGTCTGAATATAATACACTATAAAACATATGAAAAGTGAACACTATAGCGCCCCCTACCATAGACATGAAACGTCAACATAGTCAGATCTGCACCAAATTTGGGAATTAAATTCTATGCATGATAACGAGCAAAAAATTATATTATGGACATGATACCATTTTCACTGTTTGCCAGCAGGGGCGCAAAGACTCAAAAATTTGGCGCCTATGGGAGACGTCCCCGTCATCTTTGTCATAGAGCCACGAATTTCGGTACACACATTCATCATGTGAAGACAAACAAAAAATATTATTATGGCCACGCCTCCTGACAAACCAGAAGGCGGCCATCTTGGATTGAAATTTGAGTCCGCATTTTCGCTGACGTTACGTTTGAACGAACTCCTCTGAAGGTGCTTCACCCACAGGGCTGAAAATCACCGTACATCATCTACAGAAGTGGAACATCTAAAGTTAGCTGATTTTTTTTGATAACTGTCACGGTTTTCGTGCGGCGAAGCCGCAAATTTGATCAAAATTTCGCCTAATTTCAAGGTGACATTATTTGCTCCTGTTCCCACAGACTTAGTCCGATCGGCTGAAATTTGAATCACTATGTGTGATCTCAGTCTGAATATAATACACTATAAAACATATGAAAAAACACTATAGCGCCCCCTACCATAGACATGAAACATCAACATTGTCGGATCTGCACCAAATTTGGGAATTAAATTCTATTAATGACTACAAGAAAAAACATATATTGCTGACATGGGAATTTTTCAAGGTTGGCCAGTAGGGGGTGCAAAGAACATCTAAAGGCGCACTATGTCATTTTGCCATTTGCAGGCCCAGAGTTTGCGGACACGGCGTTTACGGTATGGTGTTGGCGGGGCACACTATTTGCGGGCACGGCGTTCGCGGGCGCGGCGGGCGAGGGCCGTTCGACGCCGCTTGCGGCTTTAATTTTGTAGTTGTTGTTATAGAGGTGGTTGTAGTAGTAGTATTAGTAGTAATTGTCAGAGTAGGAGCTGTAGAAGAGGTAGTAGGAGTAGCAGTATTAGTAGTGGTAGGAGTTGTAGGAGTTGTAGAAGGAGAAGTAGGAGTAGTTGGAGTAGCAATATTAGTATTGGTAATAGTAGTGGTGGTAGTAGTATACTTGAGTCAGCCTTGAGGCACAGTTTTCTTTCTCAAGGGGTTACTCTGGGCTAGGATCTTAAAAAAATTAAGAAAAAAACTAGTAGTAATAGTAGCAGAAGTAATAGTATTGAGCTCCCAGGCTTTTATGGGCTTGTGTAATTATTCAGTTTGTTTACTTGCATATAGATGGTGTTCACATCCCCCATCTCCGTGTTTTGAATCATAGGATTGCTGTGTGTTGTTTTAACACATAAACTGCAGAGCTGTTGTTGATTGTGTTTACAGAGACCCAGGCAGACTCATCGCTCCAGGCTGCACAGCTGAGACTGAAGAAGGCCAGACTCGCTGACTCTCTGAATGAGAAGATCTCCCAGCGACCAGGGCCCATGGAGCTGGTGGAGAAAAACATCCTACCTGTGAAATCAGAAGACAAAGAGCCTGGAAATGGTACGTGTTGGCAGGGGTTACATGCACACTCAAAAGCTGGTCATTATAAGATTTCAGGAGTTATTAAGACTATTAAAAGATACATAAACAGCAAAATAATCTGAATTGTTTCTGATCATGATTATGCACATCAGATTTTGTTGTTTGCATGTCACTTCAATAATGTTAAAGGTCCTCTATTACACAAAATTTACTCTTGTGAGTTTTAAGTCATGTTAGAATGTTGTGTTGTGGTTTCATTCACACATTTTTGAGTAATCCTTTATTATTAGTATGTCTACATCTCCAAAACTCAAAATGCTCTGTTCTACATTGTGATGTCCTGAAGCGGTAGTTTTGAAGCTAATAGTTACCTTTTGTTTAGCTGAAACTAACAATTCCAGAACTGAAGTCATCCAAATTATTCTGGTGAAAGTGTGTGGAGTTTAAAAACACAGTGAAGCACTTCCTGTATTACCACATGACATCACAAGGTGGAACAAAGTGTTTTCTATTTGAGAGAAGAGCACAGCCTAAATATGCAGGGTTTGTGTACTAAACATGTGTGAATGAAACATAACACAACTCAAGGTTTGTTTGTGATGAGAAAACAACATAGATCAGAAAATAACACAATCTGAAGCCTGTGAAGGTCCAGAAATCAGATTATAATGAGGTTATGGTGTGCATGTAAACATAGCCTTTGTTAGCACATCAAAAAGACAAATGGTGGAAAATATTAACAACAATGAATATTTTTAGATATTTTTATTATTCTGATCACAATATTAATATTTTTGCAATCCATCCAAAATGTGCTTTGTTCAGGTTCATTGATCACACAAAAGTTGTATTTTTTCTACACTCAATATTGTAATTTGAAATATCGTCAAGGCAACTGTTTTGACACTGTTCATTTATTCATACATCTTCCACCTCTAGCTTAGGTTTAATATGTGACCATCACTTACTTTTACTTTTAGTTAGAACTTAGAAAAAACTACAAAAAACAACAGATTTATCCAACAATCTATCTAATAACATTTGTATAGCATTTGACAGGCCAAGATGCTTCACACAGTCCAAAACAAACAAAACACAAATGAAAGAAACAGGTAAAAAAGGAGATGTGGATATCTGTTTCAACAAGTATCTCTCGATCTCATTTCTATTACTTGTTTTCAGGTGATGAACTGAGCAGTATTAAGACTCCAGATGTGTACAGCTTTGACGAGGACAGTAGTGACGGCTCTTCTCCCTGCAGCCAAAAGTCTGACAGCTCCAGTTCGTCAAGAGAAAGTGGGGACAAGGAAAGCGCCCAGTCCCCCTCCTGTAACTCCCACAAACAGGTAAGTTAAGGATCATATCATGCCTTAAAAGAACACAATGTGTTTAATAATAGTTTGCATTGTCTTTGTTTTTTGTAGTCTTCACCCAAGTCGCAGTCAACAGTTGAAGTGGCTCACAGCAGCGAAAAACAGAACTATTGTCAAATGTCATCTCCTCCAAAAACTGTTCATAATGTCACACCAGGTCCAGTTTTGGTCAAGGTGAGTCTAACAAACCAATTAATAAGTAAGCCTGTCATTTGTCACTTTATACATTTTTATGGCATTTTTCAAACTGGCACATTTGTCATTATTTGCCAGATCTTAAAATGCCTATGTAACTTTTTCCTTTGCTTTGCCTGGAACGTTCCATAGTATGGCATTAAACTTAGCTATCTTCATGGAGCAGATGACTCCGCTGTGCAATTTAGAGGTCATATCTGTGGAGAGGTCACCCCACTCACAATAAGAATGCACCTTTCAATGCATTATTGGCCAGTAAAAACACAGTTACAAGAGAAGTTTAAGGCCATACTTTGGAACACTGAGTTTAGTTTAGACACTGGCACCATAAAGGTTACATAATGCACCTTTAAATTCAGGTTAATGGGGAGGGTTGCGTCATTAAACTTGCCGCAGTAACAATAGAAGTGATTTGTGGTACTGCCCCCTGAAAGAAAGCAAGCCCCTATAAACGACATTCTTCAAAAAGAAAAAAGAAAAACCTCTTCAAAAGCCCTTTGGTAATTGAGCTGAACAATGCCATAACATACAGTCGATCATCAATTTCAATATGTATCATGTTCTTCACCACCACATCAAACTTCCCCAAATGCAGTAATGATTTTATATTTTGTTTCATGATGTAAGTGTCCGTATACATCTGGCGTGGCATTAACCTCTGGCCCTAACTCGTATTCACTGTGTGTTTTCTTTGGAAATGTAACGCGACGTGTCTTGTCAAAGATATAGCCCTGTGTTTTGTCATACTTACAGTCACATCATTTCAGGGGTGAACTTCAAGTCACTGTTCACTGCTGAGTTCAAAGACAGCAGGGATTTTGAGTGCTTGTTCTTAACTTTGTGCCAGCTCGAGTTTGTCTTCAATTAGTCTCGAATGACAGACTGTGCAAAACCTTAGCCAGAAATCAAAGGACTAGAGAGTGGTCTGGACATTTATCAGGGCGCTGCTATCCTCCCTGGAACATGAGAGCAAGATAAATTGGACATTTGTGTTCGGGTTAGTCCACCTCAGCCCCGCTTTCATCACTGCAGTGTCACTTGTTAATACGCCAAGTCCTTTCCATCTGTATCCTGCGATCTCAGGTGTTAAAGAATGAGGGAGACAGTTATGAACCATTTCCTGATCCACCTTAAATTAACAATGCCAGGTCTATATATTACCAAAATGGACTCTTTAGTCCATTTAAGTCATGTAAGAATGTTGTTACCTCATCAAAAACATACCTGGAGTTGTGTTTTCTTTCATTCACATATGTTTAAGTAACACTAGGGAAGCATTATTATTATTATTATTGTATCAGCACTTGACATCACAAGGTGGAACAGTGTTTTCTGTGTGAGAGAATAACTCAGCCTAAAGTCTGTGTGTTAAACATGTGTGAATGAAATAACTCCAGATATGTTTGAGCCAAGAAAAAAACATAACATTATAACAGAAAATAGTGTAATATGAGCTCTTTAATGTTTGGTCCCTTGCTGGTCTCTGTAGTCTTTTTTTATTATAAAGTTAATTTAATGTTTTACAATGTTTTTTTTTGTAGTCAGAAATCTTTGTTGGCTCTTGAAAACATATTCTTCACTCCAGCTTGGTCAGATTTCATCACTTCATCAAGTTACTCATTTGTCTTAAAATACATTATTCTAGCTAGTGATAGATGTCTACATTTCTGTCCTTTGTCCAGTATTAGCCTATGTTTATAAACATAGAAAAATGAATTTAAAAAAAATCATTATTAGGCCAGCCTGTCACGATCACAAATTTTGAAACACGTTATATTGCTACAGAGATATACTGCAATAAATGATAATACTGAAACTACTTTATGCCTCTGACACAATAACAGTAAAGCAGGATAATCCTTGTAAATAATTTGTAAATAGACTGTATTATTCAAAGACCTGAAACAAATAAATAACAGAATGAACCAATAATTAGCCGTAGAAGTAATTTATTCAACCCCCTACAGCTCAATTAACACATGTTTAACACAGAAATTATTTCATTTGAGTTTTTCTCTCAAATTGGAAAAAAATGTTCCACCTTGTGATGTCATGTGGTAATAAACAAAGTGCTCTACTGTGTTTTTACACTCCATGCACTTTCCCTAGAATCCTTTGGATGATTTCATTTCTGGAATTACCAATCTCAACTGAACTAAAGGTAAAAGGTTGCTGTTAACCTGAAAACGACCACTTCATGACATCACAAGGTGGATGATGTAGACAGACTAATAATACGGGATTATTCTAACATGTCTCAAATCAAGACAGTTTTGTGTTATATAGGACCCTGAAGCACTTTTCCCCTTCAAAAGATATAATATTTTATTTAAAATTGGTAATAGCTATGGCAACTGTCCTCATTTTGATCATTTTGAAACCCCTGCATATTCTCTCCTGCAGCAAAGCCTGTCCAGAGCTGCAGGTGAGAAGAGTCGCAGTAAAAAGAGCAGAGATCCAAAGCCTCGCGTGAAGAAGCTGAAGTATCACCAGTATATCCCTCCACATCAGAAACAGGAGCAGGACCCCGTGCCCATGGACTCTGCGTACGCCCGTCTCCTAGAGCAACAACAGCAGTTTCTACAGCTACAGATACTTAGCCAACAACAGTTCACCTACAACACCGTCCAGCCGCCAACTATCAAGTAAGATGACATTGCAAGTTTTACAGAGGTCATCCTGGTTCAATTTCCAAGGGCCGGGTCATTCTGTGTGTTTCTATGTCTTCCCTGCGTATAGTTCCAACTGTTATATTAGTTGAATAATTATTTGTCAATGCTTCATAATATTTACATCCTAATTAGCCTCAATAAAACATAAACAAAACTTACTTCATAGTGAACAAATGATTCAGGATTATTAACTATAACTACTTAATGGTAATGGTTATGTTTTTTGGAGTATTAATTAAGTAGTAAAAGTTTAGTTTTTTATAAAAAGTTGGCTGTTATTTCATTAAGGTTAGTTGCACAACAGCAGAGAAGGGAAAACATGGACTGAGACTTTGCAGTGACATCACATTAACAAACACTGCCAAATAAGTTTTAAGATCTGTCTGAAAACTGGAAATGGACTTAAACCACACATTTTCAGGAGCCTGTGATCAATACAAGCATTCATGGTCCTGTTTAGGTGTTTAATTTGCAACAAAAAAAGGTGAGAGTGACTGAAAAACTGTTGTCTAACACTACCTAGCTTGTGATCATAGTGTTATTTGAGAGAGACTTGTTTAACAGCACAGAACATCTCTCCCGTTGCAGATCCAGCTAAATAGGTTCTTTCTGGTCAGATTGTGTTAAAATAAAGCTCAGAATAAAGTCTAACAAAGCCTCAGACAAAGCAGTGCCTACAGTTAGCTTCATGATGTCATTAGCTTCAGAGTACCAGTACTAGTTGACAAAGTTACTCAGTTGTTTTTGTGAGGGATTGTAAGAATTTTAGAGCTTTCACCAGTGCCAAACCACATCTTTTTTTGGTCAATTAATCTGATAAGTCCTTCGTGACCAAAATCCTGGCTCAAGATCTGGAGATAGGTCCAAAGTGCGTAACTAAAGTCCAGAAACACTATCACAATCATCAAAGTTGTTCATGTTGTGTAAAATGTCCCAAAACAACTGCCACAACAGAAATGAATTGAGGCTATTTATTGATGAAAAATAGGTGGCATCCTGTTCAGTAACACCTGGTTCAGCTTCATAAAAAGACTCCAGCTGCTCCATGTCTCACATACTTCACATTTCCTGCTTCCTACACAGAAGTTCATTGTGATTAATGGGAGATAGTTTCTAAAATCGGCTTTACTCCCTTTTTTCAGGCAGACGTCTGAAGTACAGAGCAGCTGTTGCAGTGGAAATGCTACATCTTTAAATCTTCTACCAAACCCGACCAATCACAGGACGGAGCTGCCGGCCAACCTGGAGGACATGAAGGTGGCATCATTATTATACACAAATAATATGGATCATTGAGTTGAAAAAAGCTTTAATGAAGCTAATGTGTTATTGTTTAGCTAGTTTAGTTCATTTAGTTTATTTTACAGGGACAGTGTGCAGGCGCATTAATCAAAGAATCATTGAAGAGATGTTGCTCCAAATAAATGTGTTTTGAAAATGTGTTTTGGGCGTAATTCAGCATCAAACAATTATTAAATTTTTTTCTTCCCAAGATCTCAACAGCTGTTAACCTTTTACAAATATTTGTAGATATTTGGTGCATTCACACTTGTTGTTTGATCTTAGTTTTAGTCCACTTTGAGTCCAAATGTTGACTTTGCTTCATCCTGTTCTAGTCTTGATCTAGTCCAGAATTAGTCCAGTTTTAGTCCCAGTTTAGTCTCAGTTTTGATTGAAGGAAAGAGATACTTTATTGATTCAAGATTCAAGATATGGTTAATCAAAAATTTTCAAATAATGTAAAAATATATACTTTTTGATTACCATTGTAACATATTTCCTTTCTCTACAGGTTGCTGAACTAAAGGCAGAGCTCAAACTTCGCTCTTTACCTGTTTCTGGGACAAAGCTAGATTTGATCGAGAGACTTCGCTCGTACCATGAAAACCGCATGGACATAAGCAGCCCTCCTGTATCGCCTATTGCCTCCAAAGTGTCCAAACTGGGCCTGAAAGACAGTGTCCCATGTGAGACTCTGGACTGTCCTACTGAGGGTCCCGAAGAGGGGGACAAGGACCAGCGCTTGTTTGAGAAAGAACGTCAGATTGAGGAGCTGATGAGAAAGTTAGAGCAGGAGCAGAGACTGGTGGAGGAGTTGAAAATGCAGTTGGAGGTCGAGAAGAGATTTCAACAAGGCGACTCCCCACCCCCTGTGTCATGCCCCACCTTCGTACAGGTCAAACAGGAAGTAGTTACACCTTTAAACTGCTCTGGGGCGTCCAGTGTGTGTCCTGTACCGCCTTCAGGGGTCAAACAAGAGGTCACGCAGAGGAATATTGCGCAGCCTGTCCTAATGTCCATGAACTTACACGATCCAGGGGCATCTCCACCAGGACCACTGCAGAATACAGGATCAAACACCAAAGTCTCAGTGCAGTTACTGCAGCAAGGCACTGCTCAGAAGGTAAAAGAGTCAACCACTACGCTACTTATTTATTTGTTGCTTTGGTTTGTTGAATGGTTTTTGATCTATGTTATAATGTTGTTTCCTCATCAAAAACAACCCTGGACTTTTGTTGTTGTTGTTTTGTTTCATTCACAAATGTTTAACACACAAATCCTGCATATTTAGGTTCTTCTGTCAAACTTAAAAGACAATTGTAACTCTACAAAAGGTTGTTCTATTGACAAGTAAAGCAGTTCAATTGAGGCTAAAACTACATGTTAACCTTACAGCTACCATTTAATCACAAGGTGGAAAAGAGCAAGAGTTTTGGGGATGCAGACAGAATAATAACTCAGGATTACTCAAACAAACCTGTGAATGAAACAAAGCACAACTCAAGGTATTGTATGTTTTTGATGAGGTAACAACATTGCTTAAAACATGGCTTAAAGGTTACAAGACTCAATTCTGCCTAATTTAGGACTTTTAAAGGTGTACTGTGTCACTTTTCTCATGTTGGGTCCACCACCAATAGGGATGTTATTGCTTTTGCTTTGATTTCATAGTATTGTGTTAAACCTTAAAAAAATAGATGTAGCATTTATGTCATTATGATGTTTGTTTTGCACAGAAATTACTTGAAAAACATGAATTCTTAGTGTGAGCAGGGTCACCTCTCCACAGATCTAAAGCACAACTAGGCCTGGTGCCGTTATCTGCTTGTCTCCATGACGATAGATAAGTTTAATGAGCATTCCTAGTTAAGTAACAACAAACAAGCAAATGGCCTCTCCACCAGAAAATGCATCGTTTATTTTTGTATTGACAAGATTTCACTGGACAGGCACAAAATCACTATTGCAAACTCAGATTCAGTCCAATTACTATAGTTTGTGATTTTACATAATTTTACATAAATTATATCTGAAATTTGATTAACAACACCTAAAATGAGAAGGCGACATCAGCAACCAGGAAATTGGAAGCAGGAAGTGTATTTTAATACTAATTTGTTTAACATTTGAGTAATATGGCAGGCAGCTTTTACTTTTAGAATTAGATGTTGGAGTGCTCTGAGACTAGTGGTACAGTGCACATGAGTCACTTGTTACTCATCTGTTAAAGAAATGCATCAACTTGGGTATTTAAAATGTAGGGCAGTGCAATTTATTATATTTTATTGGAGATTGAGATCACCTTGGGTCTTTTTGACTGAGAGGTCCATAGCCCGTCATCATTTGTCAGTAAAAGCATGAGGTTTAGAGAAGAACTCATAGTTTGGAAGAGGAAATTAGGCTATTTTTGTTTTTGCATTTTATCTTCAAGAAATTAATATTTAAAGGTACACTGTGTAACTTGTTTAGTGGAGGGTCCATCACCTGCTTGTCTCCATGGAGAGGTACTTAGAATGTTCCATAGTATGGCCATAAAGTTGTGATGTTTTTAATATATTTTCAGCACATAAACACATGTAGTTGAATAAATGTGAAGACAGATTACTTTAATACTATACTCTGGATAATTTAAACTAAAGTACAAACTCCGGAAAAGTTACACATTTTTAGTTTTTAATAAGACCAAATCCAATAAAAAAACATAACTGATCAATATGAGGAAAAAGAGCATGATTTTTTTGTTGTTGTTGTCCAGCCTTAACAAAAGGCCTAATAAAAGATACCCAATATTTTAATACAGTCAGTGCTGTTCCCATTGATTCCCTGTCTCTGTATGTTGCCTCAGCGATGTAGTTGCGTTGGTGATGAAATGCCCTGGTTCTTGTCAGAGTTTGGCGGGTGGAGGGGCAGGTGTCGACAGTAACAGCCCGTCTGCCCTCTGTCCTCCATCTGATCTGAGACTCCAAATTTAGCATCACAGAGTCACAGAGCACCAAGAACCATGGCTCCAGGACCATTAATGTTCAGCAGATACACAATATACAAGAATAATCATATCATAAAATGTGTTATAATGGACTAAAAGCCTAAAAGATAAATCAGTTAATTATCTGAAATTCAAACTGATGTTTTTCATATTCATATTTTTAATTCAGGTCATATAGTTTATTTGAGCTTTTTGTAATGGAGAGACATATAAGACATGTCATACACAGCTCAAAGTACAATTATGAGAATGCTATTTTCACTTTCACATTTTTTACACATGTTGATTAGTATGTTAGAATTAGGGATGCAGCTTTTTCAGTTTCGATACCGATTCTGATACTATAGCTCTATGTATAGTACTAAAAATGCTTTATTTTCCTAAAAACTAAAAATAGTGTATGTCTAAATGTGTTATTTAACTCGTATTTATCTCTCAGGTAACTACAGAACAACTTTGAGTAAATAAAAGCTCAAACATCATGAGATTTTATGGACCATGACCACAAGTGAATAGTTTTATTACATCAGTTTATAGGCCCAACCAGGATTTCGGCAGAACCAGTATTTTGGAGCCGATACCTGATCTGTGTATCCCTAATCAAAATGGCCTGACTTAATTACAATTATAATAGTACATTAAAGTTGCATTGTGTAACTCTGTCAAATGCTTTTCTTCATGAAAATGTTATTGCTTTGTCTGGAATGTTTCACAGTATGGTATTAAACCTTTCTATCTTGATGTAGACCAAACCAGACCAAGTTACAGGTCATATTTGTGGAGAGGTGACCCCACTCACAGTCAGAAGAATGCCTATTTTTCTAGGTATTCCTGAGCTACAAAACCAGCTATAGTTTAATGTCATACTGTGTAATATTCAAGGCAGAGCGATGACATAGAAACAATCAGGTGACCTCTGACGAAAAAGTTGCTTACTGTTCCTCTAAACAAGCACAGATATACCAACTGATGCTACAGTATATTTGACTGTTTAGTACAATACAAGTAAATTTAAAGTACATTACATGTCTACACTGGTATCTAAATTATATATTTAATAATAATCTGGAGACACAGATGTCTTTAGACTTTTCTTTTCATATTACCATGCTAATACTATGCTGTGCTGTGCTGTACTGTAATGTACCAGCAAAAAGGGTTAAATATTTCTTGCAATTCTGTCTAAATGTTTTTTGTATTCATTATAATTCATTATGAAAAAAAAAGAGAAATATTTTTTGGTATAATTTTATTTTATTTGCCATACCACTGATTGTAAGTGGTCACTAACCCTTCATCATAAACAAGTGAACTACAGGCTCCTCTTGTTTCCACTGATAATTTAATGCACGTTTCGAAATCTTTTTTGCAAGAGGGTCTGTAAGTTATTTAGTCATTTACAGCTAAATACCAGCTAATTGTTTGGGAATGACCATAAATAAGCAGTTGCAGAAGGCTCATTTATACCACATTGAAGCCATTTGAGTGGAGCTGTGTGTTGTTGACTCATGTAAATATTTGTGCAGGCGTGGACAGATGCAGCAGTCCTGACCACGTTCTCCAACCCCACATCTGCCGACAAGGTACATTGTAATCTGAAATCATAAACAGTGACACTATGAAACGATTACAAACTTGTGTCTTCTTCTACTCAGGTTCACAGTGAAGCATCTATACTCCTATTGCCACACAAGTCCAAAGACCCACCTCGCTACGAAGAGGCCGTTAAACAGACACGCGGATTGATCACACAGGTAAACAACTGTGCTGAAAGTTAGTGTAAATATTATAGGAAAAGAACATGAACTGAACATGAACACAACAACTGGACAAAGGTTTTAAAGGTTCTATGTTACACAAAATTGACTCTTGTGAGCTTTTAGTTATGACGTAATCCAAAATAAAACCTAGCTGTGTTTTGTTTCATTCAAATATGTTTGAGTAACCCTTTTTATTAGTATGTGTACATCTCCAAAGCTCAAAATGCTTTGTTCCACCTTCTGATGTCATGAAGCAGTAGTTTCCAAGTTAACAACCCCTTCTTACCTTTGGATCAGTAGAGATTGGTAATTCCAGGGCTGGAATCATGAAATCATCCAAATCGTGTGAAGTGAAGCTGTATGGAGTTTAAAAACACAGTGGAGCACTTTCTGTATTACCACATGACATCACAAGGTGGAACAGTGTTTTCTTTTTGAGCCTAAAGTTTGTATGTTAAACATGAGTAAATGAAACAAAACAACACTACTGGTATGTTTGTCACGAGGAAACAACATTATTGCTTCAACATTTAAGAGTGCATATATTTCAACTCATCCAAACAGCTTCTTCAGTTTTGACAGGGTTTTGAAAGTCACTGCCTTAAATATCTGAATAGAGGAGCTAACTACACTGGAACCCTACACCCTACACTGGAACCCTAGTTGTTTACAATAAGGAGTACTGTTATTAAAGTCAGAAAAATGTGAAATCTCTCCTGAGTTGTAGTCTAAATATGATCTGCATCTGCTTTTCCAATTAGTTATTTCATTTTGACTGCGTGGGTGGAGTTGTACATTTTCAAACCCGGCAGAATGGGGTTGGTGGTGGTGGTCACTCGGAGGGGTCCATTAGAGCATACTGGCAGTCAAGTGTCTCTCTCTCTCTCTCAGTTCACCTCAGGGCAGTTGTGGCTACAGAAATAGTTAACCACCATTAATACATGAAAGTGTACAGCAACTTTGTCTTATTGTGTGTGTGTGGAAATATGTGGATAAGATAAGCAACGCAAGACTAACGCTCTACTCTAATCCATGTGTCTTGCTTTTTAGTGTCCATCTGTGTCCAGTCAGCAGATGGATGACCTTTTTGATGTACTCATTGAAACTGGAGGTGAGTAATATCATAACAGTATTTTTTATTGTGGAAAAGTCATCTCGGATCTTCCGGAGTTTAGCAATACGGCCTATTAATCAGTTTCACTTTGTCTGTTGAAATTACATGCTTGTCTTCAAGGAAGTTTAAAGGTCCAATAGTACATAAAATTTACTCTTGTGAGCTTTAATCCATGTTATGATGTTGTTATCTCATCAAAAACATACCAGGAGTTGTGTTTTGTTTCATTCACACGTTTGAGCAATCCTGCATTATTAGTCTGTTTACAATTCCAAAATGCCTTACGATATCATGAAGCAGTAGTTTTCAAGTTAACAGCTCCTTTTATCTTTGTTTAGTAGAGACTGGCAATTCCAGGCCTGAAATTATCCAAATGATTATACTGAAGGTGCATGAAGTTTAAAAACACAGTGAAGCACTTCCTGTATTACCACATGACATCACAAGGTGGAACAAGTGTTTTTTGTTTGAAAGAAGAATTCAGCCTAAATATGCAGGATTTGTGTGTTAAACATGTGTGAATGAAACAAAACACAACTCCAGGTATGATTTTGATGAGGAAACAATGTACACATATACATACTAGATCTGAAAATATATGGGCCCTTAAAAGTCCAAAAAAGTGCCAGACCCTCCATCAGTAAAGTTACATAGTGAACCTTTAAAAATAGACAGATAATGTAATATAACAGGCATATTTAATGACTGTATATCTGTATTTTTCAGAGATCCTACCCTTTGTCAAACCCGAGCCTCACAGTCTGGATCAGCCTCTCCCTGTCACTGCCAGCGTTACCACTCTACCCATAAACACAGTCTTATGTCGCCCCCCGGCTGTGGTCCACGTAGCGCAGCCCCCTGCCCCATCTGCGCAGACCCCCGCCCTGAAGCACACAGAGGGGCTGCACTCATCCCTGCACAGTATTCACATGGAGTTTGAGGAGAACGCTTCAGATCCACACGTCCAGAGTGAAGACAGTATGGACTGGCTGGACCTCTCAGAAATGTCCGGTCACGTGGGCATCTTCTCCTCAGACTTTTTAGACTCAAATGAAATGCACTTGAACTGGGAATAGGACGGTTACCACATGCGTTCCCTTTTGTCATATAGACCAAAATACTTACTAAGGTACTTTTAGGAAATCTGTACTTTGATTAAATTAACTATGCATTATGGAGCTTTTTTGGTGGAGCACCTGCTTGTCTCCATGGAGATGTCATTGCTTTGCCTATAATGTCTCACAGTGTGCCATTCAACTTTCCTGTCTCCACGGAGTCAAGTAAGTTACAGGTCAGATCTGTGGAGAGGCAAACCAACACAGTAAGAATGCCTGTTTTTATGTTTTATAGAATTTTTTAGCATTAAAAACATTTGTAATTAAATACATGCAAACCAAGCCAGACAAAGCAATGACATTAAAAACAGAAAAGTTACATAATGCCTTTTTAACTCTTACTTTAAAATGAGCAATGCTTTAACATAGGAGTGGTACTGGACAAGAAAACTATGAGTAATTATAACAAAACACTTTTCTGTATGGCTTTTTTAGAACACATGTATGCATCTGTTTCATTGTATATGCATTTCTCTGGTTCATTTTTCAACCTGTTTCAAATGTAGGATAAGCATATTCATCAGTGGACCAGCGTTTGCACTTTTTTGCACTAAAAGCTTAATTTGTACCTTGAATAGTCATCTCCCATTTTTGAAAGAGAGAAATTTCAAGATGGTGGATTGGACCGTACTGTATGAACATTCCAGGCCACCTCTGACCACAAACCTCCTTGTCTGAAACCACCTCCAGCTGTTTTCCAATGGCATCTGCAGCTCCCATCAGATCAGCTCAAGACTGTTTCACTAATGAAGCTGTGGTCCGTTTGTCATCACTCTTTTCCTGACAGCGCTTTGGGAATCAGAGGTGGCACTTTGAGAGGGAACATGTGCTGGAAAGAAGACTATAAATTTAACTCAACACCAAAACGTATTGTATAATTGCATAATGTCTGTATTTTAATGTATGCCATATTACCTTTTATACAAATTTGTAAACACGGCTTACTACTTGAGCATCTTTCATATGCTTTATACTCTTAAGTGCTTTACATTAAAAGCAAAATGTTGTCAATTTGTGAATTTTGAAATGCAAACCAAACATATCTATAAACATCAATTGTCAATTAAATAGATACATTTTCTAGCTTCCTTATTCTTGGGTTTCAGTTTCTTGTTATATGGTGCCATTTTGAGGGCATTTGAGTATTCAAAAGATGTAATATTGAGTTTGGATCTAGGTCTTGATAATTACTATATTGACTTATTGTACAGTATATGAAAGCTGGGATAATATTTTTTGGGGTCAATATTTACCGTGAGTACATTTTCTTTGCACTACTGGGAAATTTTGGGTTATATTTTGGCTATAGGATGAGACTTAAACTGTTAAATGTTAAATGAATAACTTCTGTGGCTCATTACAGATGTAAACTAAATACTCAAGTGTTTCATTCAGCTGTTTATTTAATGATGCTCATGATTTTTAACAATATTTTACATTTAGTTTAGGTTATTTTTGGCATAAATTTGTTTCAATATTATGATTTATCATCTCTGTTTACTTCAACTGTAGGCTATATCGAACTTTAAAATTTGCTATTGTGACCAGCCTATTTGGAACTTCTCAACCTCTGTGAATAGTCCAGTTTAGGTACTAGTTAGGTATAGAAAGAGAGGAAACAGTGACAAATGGAAATGGCTGTTTTGGTAATATGATTCAGTGCTTCTCTGTTTAATGCAGCTTTATTCTCAAACACAGACATTTATGGTCATTCTCCATTATCCTCAGAGTGAGTGAATGCAGAATGTATTTTCAGAAGCAGAAAGCAGCTTTAATTGTCTCTCAAAGAAAGTACATGAATCATTATCATTATAAATCTAACATAGTGATCTAGGCTCTATGAAAATGTTTTATTTCAGTGCATATTGCCTACCCCTCCAGATGTCTCAACTGTAATTTCTTATGCACAATACTTTGACACAACATTTAACTACATTTTGTATTTTGTATTTACATAGTATAGTATTTATTTAAAGGTGCACTATGCTCCATTGTATGGCATTAACTATATCCATCTAGCATTTATTCATTACGGGTGTTTCTATTGCTCAAAAATGCAATAGGTGCGACGCTCCATGGATCTGAATTGTAATGGAACCTCCTTGTCTCCCTCGTGGTATAGGTTTAATCTATATTGTGGAACATTCCGTGGAGACAGGCAGGTGGCAGACCCTCAGTGAGAAAAGTTACGCAGTGCACCTTTAAGCAGTTGCATAGTAAAAAATAATTATCAAAAAGCTAAATGAAAAATACTTGGTTAAGTCTTGGCATGCACATCATATTTAAAGTTTCTTGGCAGTGGTGATGAGCGTGTTACACTTGGGACATTTGTGTACTGTACTTTTGAAGCTGTCCACACAGAAGGGAATTAAACAACAACCAGCAACACACCTAAACAAGTCCAAAAAAACTGTTACACATCAATGTATTTAACTATGCAAAACAGTTAGGTGGGTGGTTATCACATCCTTACCCCATCATGGCTGTCATAATGCACGATAGCCACGTAACACTGCTCACAATCGTGGTTGTCTGGGTGGTAACAAACTCCGAGCATCCTGGACATTGCGTTTTGGTTGGTTTAAACTGAAAATTGTTGTAATCTAATGAAACTGTAGGGGCTGTGTGGGAACAAGAAAACTGTTTAAATGAGCAAAAAGTAAAAACATAGAATATAATAGAGAAATAAATTATGCAAGAAATGTATCCAATGTAGTATCAATGAGGTAGACAGTACTCAGTTATATGTACTAGAGTAACATTTTTAAAGATGTAACAATCCTCTTAACTGAGTAATGCTTTGCCCTTGATGCTTGAATTTGTTATTTGTTCTACATTTGAAGTAATTTTTAGCTGGTCTACTCACCTCTGATCAATACGCACATGAGGGCAATTCATTATAATAATTGAACATCCCACAACATTAACATTTTCTTGACACTAACTTGTCAAAAGATGGAAAAATATATAATAATCACAAATACCTGGATAATTAGGAGGCTGTTCCACAAAGAAAATCTGTGGTGTTGAGCTTTCATCACTTGAGTTTGGCAATATTTCTGATTCTTCACTGAAGCTTACTGTAAAATAGGTTATTGTTATTGTAAAATGGTTATTATTCCTCATTGGTCTATTGGGAATGAGACTTATTCAAATATACCTTTTTTAGGCTTTTGTCTTTGATCATTGAGTGTGTCTTGTCTCTTTTCAAGTTCAACTCTTAACCTCTCCAGTTGGTTTAGTTTATTTTCAATGTTGTTTAATTCTTCCTCATTTGCATCGTCTATTTCAGCTGGTGAAATTATATATTCATTAAAGCAGAAAACTGAAATGCAATAGGCTTACACATACATATTACTCTTTAAATAGAAACATGTGTAGTACATTATTGTAATGGCTAAATAAGAAAGTTCAGAGTAGGCATTTCATGAGTTCTCACCTGTGGGTTCACAGTTGACTCTGCTTGTAAGCTCTTTCATGATACACAACACCTTTTTACGCTCCACAAGCTGCTGCATCTTCATCGTTACATTTTGTAACTCGTACGATATTTCTTGTTCCTCATCCTCAGCTGAAGTCATCTTGAAAACTAATATATGACCTGTCTAAACAGGGATAGCAAATGGACAATATCACCCATAATGAAATATGTAAATGTAATGTAATGTAAATTTAAAAACTAAAAAAGGGTATACATAAGGTCATACTCAAAAAGTTTCAATAACTTCCATTAAAACAAATCTTACCAGCTAAAGTTGGCACTCTAATATCTAGCATACTTAGCTGCTAAATCTTCAAATAATAATGTGTTCAAAAATACTGCAGAACGAAGCTTTAAAAAATTCTAAAAAGTGTTTACCTGTCTGTTTCGCGTCTGCCTTCAAATTTTACTATGGGCTGTCATGTCATGGGTAAGAGACACAAGAGGCTTGTGTTTGTCTTTATCAGGATATATTCAAATCATCGGTATGTGGCTAACCAAGAGCTGTAAAAAACATTATAAACCCCCTCCACCTTTCATAGTCAACATTCAAATGTATAACAGTGAACAATAAACCAGCAGTGGATAATTTATTTAGAAAACATGTAATATACAAAATACATATATTGACAATAACAGCACATTTTTGTTTATTACAAATTGGTATAATAAAAATGCACATTATTCATACTTGTATAGTGGTTTATATAAATGTCCATAAGTGACAGAGTGCAGTCACTCCAGGAAGCTGCAGGGGTTCTTTTTGGTGATGATGCAGTCACTTTTTCCTTAGTCTCTTTATAAACGTCACTTCGTCTCGGTTTCTAATACCATAACTAAAACAGAGAAGGAATATGTGAATGTTCTTCATATTGAATCGTGTTGTATTATTAAGCACAAAAAAGTCTTACTCCTTAATTCTCATTCTGTCATCTTCAAGCTTTTCCCCTTGAAACACCAAATAATATGCTCTCCAAACATATCGCCTATGAACAAGAGATACAAATTATTCAACAAATTATTACCTTTTTTCTAACTTTATTTAAGCACTTACCAGCTTATATATTTGACTCCTCCTTCACGCTGCTGTTTGAGCTCCATGTATCTGGATATGGCTTTTTTTAGATCAAGGACGGTAGCATTTTGCACCACCACAATGGCTTAAGGAGAAAAATAATATTAAAGAATATTAAAGAATATAAAATACATTCAGTATTATCTAAAATAATACACTTACGCATTACTTCTCCATCTGCCTTTACGACTCTGACAGTCATGGCCTGGCCATATTCCAGTGCAATCTGGGAATTTACCTCTTCAAGTGTCACCTGGAGAGGAAATAATGGATTAAGTAGTTCAGTAAGCAGTATCAATATTAGCATTATAAAAGCAGTATATTGCATATAAATAGCATGTAAACAAAATTTTATATACACACCATGCAGCACATATTTTACATTGTAAATCTAAACTTCTGTACATTCATTAGATACTTCCACTGTCACAGCTGTAGTAAAGCATTATCAGAAAGACCTGTATTGGTAGATCACAGAGCAGAGGGTCCTGCACCAGACGAGCCAGTCCCTCCTCAAAGATGTCTAGGATTTCGGAATGCGGCAGAGCCTCCTCATCTTCTTCTGATTCTGCTGCAGGTTCGTCCTTCACAGTCTCTTTGTCCTCCCCAGTCTTTTCATATTTTACACTTTGCACTGGTTCAGCACAGTCCGGGCTCTGCTCCTCCATAATCCTCTCAAAACATTTGATGAGTGCACCTTTTCGTCTTGGTTTATCAACAATTTAAGGCTAAAGAGACTTAGCCACACGGTAAGCTCCGTTTTGGGAGAATAACCATGCCACCATTTATATAAAATCACACTAGTAATATATAAAGATTTCATTCAGAAGAAATAAATATTGTGTGTTACATCTATATATTACCGAAGCTACATTTGGCAAATAAGAATGGTTCCTATTAAGAAGACTCAAGCACGCATTGCATTGGCTGTTCAAATGTTAGCAGATAACTAATGATTGGCTCAGTCGTATTAAAAGCAGGGTATAATATGAATTATATTGCGGTGATCGGATAATTTTAAGAATATACATGCTTGTTGATTCCTATGCCGAAACAGTAGGCGGCGGTATTAAATCTTCTATTACAGAGCTTAATTTCCGCTGTATCTGTTCCTCATGCAATGGTTTGTTTACTGTTGTGAAATTTTACATTTTGGCTCGATTGCAGCGCATAAATTACGGCATTGTTCAATTAGTTTTTGTTAATAATTAACTAGAAACATGCTTTTGTTTTGTCCAACTTGTGGAAACGTTTTGATTGTCGAAGAAGGACAAAAGTGTATGAGATTTGCCTGTAACACATGCCCATACGTTCATAACATCACAAGAAAGGTGGGTTATTTTGAAAGTTTAATTTTAACTGCGAGGGATCTGATCATGATGATTTGCATATATATCTCACTCAAATACTTTTAATTTGTATTTAATTTTGAATCTATCTGTCACTAAATTAGTTCATATATTATAGTACACATTGTTTATTATGACCTTTCCTGTACTTAGGTAAACAACAGAAAGTACCCGAAGCTAAAGGAGGTGGATGATGTCCTTGGCGGAGCAGCAGCTTGGGAAAATGTCGACTCCACAGCAGGTGAATCTTCTTTATTTGTTTATAAAATGCAATACAAAATATCTTACCCATCTCTAGCCAAACTGTCTATGGATGAACATAAATACCCAGTGTTTGTTGTGTTTCAGAAACCTGTCCCAAATGTGAGCATCCTCGGGCGTATTTCATGCAGATTCAGACGAGATCTGCTGATGAACCAATGACCACCTTTTACAAGTGCTGCAACGCTCAGTGTGGACATAGATGGAGAGATTAACCTTTAGCGCTAATTATGTTATCTGAAATATTAGTTTGCTCCTTCAGCTGTTTTTTTCTTTATTTATTACAATACTCTTTTCAACCTATCATAATGTGTTCTTATTACAGAACTAACCCTGAAATAAATTTGCTTTCACACATGTTCTTGCTTTTTATTGATAAAATAGTAACTGTATACAACAGTTCAACAATTTTGACTTACATCGTTGTACATATCACAGACATTTAGAAAGCAATGCAGACCAGCATAATCCACAATGGCATACAATACATTGTCTTCAAAATCCTTCAACAACTTTCCTGCACAACTTCATTAGGGAAAATACAGCTATTAACTGTTGTTTCTGTTTATTTAGTTGCATGGCTTGAACAGCGTAGACTGCTTTACTGAGAAAAAATTACCAGTGTAGCTGGAGCATGCTTTTGTACGAGTTGAATTTATGTTAGTGATCAATTTCAGTTAAAGCTTAATCATAGAGATGTTACTAGTGTACATTATTTGTTAAAACATTTTTATAATCTAACATGCATCCGAGTTTATCTTAAAGACAGAATGCCATCAGAAGGGTAACATTTTATTTTGATGATTGTGCCACAGAAAGCACTGTTCTTACTGCATTTTTATGACAAACTTTACAGTGGCACTAAGAGGTCTGAGTGGCACCAAGTGACAAGATGCTAAAGAGCAGTTGCACAAATGACATGCATGTCCCTGTTGTTTAACTACTGCTGTTCAACTAAAAATCTTTATCTACTAGCTGCATTTATGTGTTTTTTTTCCTCAGAACTATTTTTAAGTAGTGTAGTTTTTTTTAATTCTCAAATGAATAAAAATGCAAAAAAGGCCAGACTTTTAAAAGAACTATCAAACAAAGTCTCTAAGATCTTTTGATTGTGTAAAGTGAAGCTTTACAAATTCATAAGAAGTAAATACAATAATTAAAACATAAAGTGCATAATGTTTAGTGTCTAATTGCATGTAAAAGCTCTGTTGTCATACTACGGCCCCAAAAGTACAGAATTAGATTAGCAAGTAACAGCAACCTTGGGCAATCCACAACAAGCCAATGACGTTAGTTTGCTCACATTCAAAAGGATATTAGGATAAAACCAATAAACATACATACAAACAAAAGGAAAATCACAGTTCTTCATATGGAATCATTAAAAATAAAATATGATTTGAAGACATTTCAACATAACATAATTAATAGATGTAAATAAATAGTGAGTAAAGTGTTTCACAGTCTTTCCTAGTTGAGGCTCTCTATCAGTACCTCACATAAATGCATTAAATTACAATCCTTCATTCTGCATTATGGCTCAGTTGCAAAATGTGGGTCGACTATCAGTGTGGGCGCCTCCTTTTTCAGTGTTTAGTGAGGGATTAGATCAAAGAAAGAAGAAATGATATATACAATAAATATGAACAAATGATGACAGGTGAATATAATGTTATGGGCACGACACCAAACTGAAAAGGCCTGTCACTATCAGTTGTGAGTTTATTCAGGTGCATGTTGTATCAAATAGCTGTCGGTGGTTAGCATATACGCTTGTATGTGTAAATGTATCCCTTACAGGACGGACAAGAGTGTGTCACATCCTTTAGGTCATCGATCAGGCAGGGAACCAAGCAGCACCCCAGATCACACCTGAAGAAGATGAGACAGTGTTAGGTTCCAAAACATGGGGCAGTTTACATTGAAGTGTACATAAATATCTATACAAATGTGTAGTAATATTGTAATAACTACAGTAATAACTTTTCATTTTGCATTTATTTCCTAAATTAAAAAAGTTTAGTAGGTTTTCTGTCGTTGAAGGAGCATGTACAAATATTCACCCATGTGTTGACTTAACTGTGTTTTTGTTCAAATACATTACTGCAATTGCATGACTCAATAAAATTGAAAAAAAAACAGATCATGGACTTCTAATAAAGATTCTCAATATTCATTTAATTCTTCAAATATTTGTATTTTACATTAGTTTTAGCTAGATTAGTCCTTGCTTTTCTTCCAAAATACAGTTTTAACAGCAAACATATAACAGTTATTTTTGTATTTCGTACATATTTACAAATGCTACACTACAGCACCATTACTGAATGCTTGCTTTTTTCAATACCATTACTGAATGCTTGCTTTTTTCAATATAGGTAAATAATACATTTGAAAGTTTAGCATTTCTTCCTTAGAAAATCAACATAGTGTCTCTAAAATAACTGAAATAGCCACTTGCACATGCCCTGCTCTGGGCTAAATATATATCTGACCCTGTGACCCCATTGGACATACCCCACGAAGAAGCAGAAGAGGCAGAAGAGTGTGTTCATGAGGCCGATGTCGTGGGAGATGCGTGTGACGATGGCCTGCTGACAGTGTGGACAGACGGTCTGCACCGGGCTGGTCTGGAACATCTCTCCCTGCAGCACCGTCACTGTGGTGGCTGCTCCTGGAGGAGCCAACACTGTGGCTGTGTGGCCCCCCATGTGCATGAAGGGACCGGGGCCTGGGCCCATCTGTCCAGGCATCGGGTGAGGGAAGTGTCCAGGGGGAGGGGGGTAGAGGGCACCTGCACAGTCATAGGGTCATATACTGTTCAATACAATGCATAATACATGGTTGGCAATACAGACAATATGGTGGTAGTAAGACTGCAATATTCATTATACTACATCACTAACCTACAGTATGACACAGGATTACCATGACAGAACCACACAGTTGTGAAGTTATTTAAATTGTGAAAACAGTGAATACTTAAAGTGTAACACATGAACATGCTTCTTTTCTCCAAATAAGCAAATGATTTAATTGTGTTGCCAAATTTTATTTTTTTTTAAATCTACTATACTTCACAATTATCAACTATTCACCATTCCAAATGCATACCAACATAAATGTTTTGGTCACACTGCTGTACATGAACTAAAAGTTTTAGAGTTCCTATTGCGAACTGGCAGAGGACAATGCCCATGAAAACTAGCCTGAAGTCTAATTTGAGTACCTAATAGTCATAAAACTATAAACACAAATTATAAACATAACTATAAAATGTATGAGTACCTTGTGGAGGTGGCATAGGCATGGGCATTGGCATGGGCATAGCTCCTTCTCCGGGAACATGTGGCGGGAGGTACCCCGGCTGTGGTCCTTCATATGGAGGAGGGCCATAGTCTGGAGGCGGAGGGTGGCCTTGTTGTGGCTGGGCTGTTCTTACTGTTTCAAAAATCATAGATACTGAAGTTACCAAACTCGAGATACAGAACTCTAAGACATTAAAACAGTTTGAAAATGGATCTAGTATTAACAGTTGCATCCATTACCAGGCTGCCCATTCTTTTCTTCAATGAGTGGTGCACTGGGTCCCCCGGGATATGGCGGAGGAGGATCACTCGACATAATTGCCGGATGTTTGAACCAAGAAAGATATATAAAACCGCTTCACTGGTAGCTATTGGTTTGATCTGTAGACAGAAACACATAGGTCTGAATGATACCCTGCATGACTGGCCTCTATTACAGATATTATCCAAAAATAAGAACATGACAAAAAGCTTGAAATTCACACATCACCAGTAAATGACTCGAGGCAAAGACAATGATGAATAGTGGTTAAATATAAACTAGAAACAACTTTGAATAAGTCCAATCTTCACTTTATAACCAATCAATCTAAAATGTACCTTGCATTTTGCTTGTTGACCTCAACAGTTCAGTCTTTTGCGGTGTAGTAAATGGACAAATATTTGCTTACCGACATGAACGCGCATCCTTGTTACAATAAAGTACAGCTAATTGAATTGTTAATTAAATCATGCACCAAATTATTTCAGGTAAATCTTCAGCTATCCAAATAACCCTGGTTAGTTGTTATTTAATCCTTAGCCTGTTAATCCACGCCAAAGCTACTTGCACAACTAACTCTGAATAACTTTGTTACATAACGAAATGGGGGCTAGCAGGTGCTTTTATTGTTATTTTGTAGCTGTTCCTTCTATTACTATAATGCATTTACGCTGCCTATTACTTTAGATGTAGCTTTTATGCTTGCTTGTATTGACTGTAACACATTGTAATGGCCCATTGGTGGTTTAGCTAGCAGCTAGCGAAGTCGTATCGCTAATGACTCTTATCTTACACAAGATATTACACTGACAGAGTTTGAGAAACATTACAGCACTAACCAATATGTACACCAAATTGTAAATCCTAATTTTACAAGTGTATTATTGTATATACTTAAATAATCGTGATGTTGTTAGCTGAGGTTAGCGTCGTTACTGTGGACACACGCAAACACAAAATTCGGAAGTCACGCTAAAATAAAAGCCAGATTTATCTAGGTGCAGCATACTATGTTACTGATTTATGTTTTAAATCAGCTGTCACTGTAATAAACGCGTAATTACCTGCCCTTTTGAGAAAGTGACAGCCCGTCCTCCGTGAGACTGAGTGGTTTGCACTGACAGAAGACAACATCCGCTAGATTTACGCCTGACGTCATTCATTATCAATTTACGGCGTCGTGTTAATTATTAATTTGCTTTAATTATGTGTTAAAATATTGAAAAATCCGTTAACAATGTATTCTGAATTAAATATGGTACATGTCAGGGTAGCTGGGTGAATTATCATGAAAAAAACACAGACATAGTCTTACACAAAGACTATATAAAAAAAAAGGTACGTAACTTTACTTATCAACTAGATTGCCTGTAATCGTACACAAAAATGAAGTTGTTTTGTTGTTTTTGCTACCATTAAAAGACGGATTATCAAAAATGCAGAGAGAGCCAATCAGATGCGCTCCTTTCACGTCGTAACAGAGCACTGGGCAAAACAAGAGCTCCCGTGTTAGCATTTAGCATTAGCCTGTGTGCGTAGTGAGGTAGTGTCCGACAAACGAAACGATATCATGTTAAAATAGCTAACTTGGATCTATCTGGGTAACAATACACTAGTTCTGGTGTTATTGCACGCCCGGGATCGCGGCTACAGGGGTTGTCTGGTTGTTTTTCACCGTAGAGCTTCAGGTTAACTAAAGCTAACATTTCCAGATCCAACCTCAGAAATGGGGTCCATATTAAGCCGTAGAATCGCTGGTGTTGAGGATATCGACATCCAGGCCAACTCGGCGTATCGATTTCCACCTAAATCTGGTGAGTATTATAGCGTACCATTGTTATAAGTTTGTTTTGGTTAACATCAAAGGTAGCTACTTAGCTTTAATTAGCTATTTCACTGTAGATCTCCATCCTCTTTGATAATGTCAGTGGGTGTAAGCGTTGTGAAATGATTGTGGCTGTTTTTACTTCATACGGTGAACAATGGTCGTTAAATAACTTAAATAACTAATCTTGAACTGGTCTTTGTTTTCCAGGTAATTATTTTGCAAGCCATTTCTTCATGGGAGGAGAGAAATTTGACACACCCCATCCAGAGGGGTACCTTTTTGGTGAAAACATGGACCTAAACTTTCTTGGCAATCGGCCAGTGCAGGTAATTATGTCATCTCTGCTTCCTGTGTTTGTCATACAGTTATAACACCCCTTGCCATTGTTTTCTAATGCCATAAATGTATGCCAATAGTTTCCATATGTAACACCTGCGCCCCATGAGCCTGTGAAAACCCTACGGAGCTTGGTAAACATTAGAAAGGACTCCTTACGCTTGGTCAGGTCAGTGTTGCATTAAAAGCACATGCCGGGTAAATGTTCTACAGAGAGGAGCTTTTATTTGGTGATAATGGCTGCATCTTCTGTTTACCAGGTATAAAGATGACTCTGACTTACCAGTGGAAGAAGGAGGGAAGCCCAAAGTCCAGTATGGAGTAGAGTTCACCTTTGATGCTGACGCTCGTGTTGCCATCACACTGTATTGCCAAGCGTTTGAGGAATTCTCCAATGGGATGGCAGTGTAAGGATAATGCATAAGAAATACATCATGAAAGAGGGCTTTAGAATTGTTCATTTTCTTTTTCATAGCTATAACTAAAGAGACAGGGTTGGATTTGGAAAGGATTTTTAATGCATTGGATCCAAAGATTCAAATAGATGCATTTATGTCCTTAGCAGCAGGTTATTTCCATGGAATACACAGTGTCTGTTGTGGTAAAAAAATAGATTTTTTTATTGTATTCTCTTTGTATTATATAAATATTATGTAAAGCATAATACATCCATTATAAGAAATATAATGGGTTGTGAAAAATCTAAATATATTGCTGCTATTCTTGAATGTTGTTTTAAAAAATATTTCTTGCTAATCTTCCTGTCATCCTTTTAGGTACAGTCCCAAGGACCCATCTATGGTTTCTGAAACTGTGCACTACAAAAGAGGTGTGAGCCAGCAGTTCTCAATGCCGTCATTTAAAATAGACTTCAGTGAGTGGAAAGAGGAAGACGTGAGTATTTACTTATAACCTGTCACCTTTGTATAAATTTTTGTATAAAGTTAGTTTGTGTTTGAGGACACTGTACAGTGCAAACGCCAGCTGATCGCTCATTAAATAATGCATTCTTTCCATTACAGCTGAACTTTGACCTGGACCGTGGAGTGTTTCCCATGGTGATCCAAGCTGTGGTTGATGAAGGCGATGGTATAAAAATACATTTATCTCACAGCTTTTATTGCTTGACAGTTGTGAGTTTTAACACTACTGTGTACTGGATTAAAATGCACTGTTTTTAGGACTGGATAGTGAATAAATGTTCCTTTTGTCACATAGCAGCTCTTCTTTTTGCAGATTGTTTGGGGCATGCTCATGTGCTGTTGGCAGCTTTTGAACGAGTGTGTTTGCCTTTTATATACACAATAAATATTATGTATTCTTTGTTAATCATTTTGAACTAATATATTTTCTTCCTGCAGCACGTTGATGGTAGCTTCTCTGTCAAGCCTCTAAAACAGAAGCAAATTGTACGTTGTACATTTTAAAATTGTTTTATTTTATGTTATGAAGTAATAATGTATTTTCAATTTGCACAATATGAGTGAAGAAAATCTGTGACAGTACAACTTAACTAGGACAAATTGTGAATAAATAATTTATATTGATAGAAGATTATAATATATAATATAATATATAATATATATATTTTGAATATATCCTTGATGCGTGTTTAATTTGCATCCAGATGGCTTTTAAATAATCTTTGCATTTGTAGGTGGACCGTGTGAGCTATCTTTTACAAGAAATCTATGGGATTGAGAATAAAAACAACCAGGAAACCAAGGTAAACATGAATGAATCTACACAGAATGCTGTCCATGCCAATGCAATGCAGAAATTATAAAATAAATAAAACTATATTATTGTTTTGCAGCCTTCAGATGATGAGAACAGTGACAACAGTAATGAGTGTGTTGTGTGTCTGTCTGACCTGAGAGACACTCTGATCTTGCCCTGTCGGCATTTGTGTCTCTGTAACTCATGCGCTGACACCCTTCGTTACCAGGCCAACAACTGTCCCATCTGCAGGCTGCGTAAGAAACTCAACTTGTTATCACCTTTTTAAGAAGAATACTTACAATTTAAAATGTCTTTTTTTCCAGCTTTCAGAGCGCTGCTGCAGATCCGAGCTGTGAGAAAAAAACCTGGTGCTCTGTCCCCTGTGTCCTTCAGCCCTGTTCTGGCCCAAACCATGGACCATGATGAGCATTCAGTAATATGCCTTCTTTCATAATCATTTTACAGGTTGTGTTCACGTCCTAGAGTGTGAAGAGGTCATAATTTCAGATGGTGGGCAAGGGCCTCTGTAACTCCATGAGAGATTTATTGTTTTTTGCAAGCGACATCCTAACTTATGATCCACAGATGTTGATTTGTATTATCTGTCAGGGATTGCAACAATTCTTTTTGCATTTTTTGTGTTGAGTATTGTCACCACCTTCTGAAGCTACTGTGGTAAAAAGGACAGAGGACTTTTCCAGTGCCAGTTTTTGTTTCATGTAGATGGTCCAATAATTACAGAGATATTAACCATAAACCAGTTCAACAAATCTGTCAAATCTGACCGTTAAACAACAAGTCTTACCACAAAAATCAGTTTTTTCCTCCAGCTCAATTTTAAACTAGAATCTTGTAATGTCACGTGAACACAACCTGTACCTTATACCTGTCTCTCGTTATCATTTGATATAATTATAACAAGAGACTGATTGTTTCTGTTGTCTTTTTGGTGCAGAGCTCCGACTCTGTGCCTCCTGGATTTGAGCCCATTTCGTTGCTGGAGGCTCTGAACGGACTGAGGTCTGTGTCACCTGCCATCCCCTCAGCTCCTCTTTATGATGAGATCAACTTCTCTGGTGGAATGGGAGGAGACAGGGGGCAGCTCAGCTCACCGGAACATCTGAGCGACAGCAGCCTGCAAAAGAGCAAAGTCAGCAAGTCTCCTGACAGGTAAAATAGCATCAACACTATAAACTAATAAACCAGGAACTACAGTGTGTCCTTGCTGTGGATGTTTGTCACATGGAGTACTCAGGCATTTATAGGTTGCTTTGTTCCCACTAGCACCCTGAGGTCCCCCTCTTCACCCATCCAGGAGGAGGATGAAGAGAAGCTGTCAGAGATGTCAGATGCCCAGCCACATACTCATCTGTCCAGCAGCCCTGCACCCACTGATGTACGCTTTACTGCAATAAAAAGAGCTGCCACACAGTGTTATAGACATAAGCTTTAACTCTCTGTTGTGTATCAATTACAGAATACTGCTACAGAGGATGTAGCAGAGTCCTTGTCTCCAGATGATGGTGAGATGTTCTTCACCGCTCTAGTCACATAATATGTTCCTGCATAATTGCTGAAAAGTGACGCGTTACATGTTTCATTCTCATGTAGAGGACAGACTGGCCGCAGGGGGAGACATTCTTCAGGACTGCAGCAGTGAGCACAGCAGCTTGACCAAAACAGAGAGTGACCCTCCAGGAGACCTCTCTCTCCCAGGTAACAGTTTAACGTATACACCATAAGATAAACCTACCTCTTATCAAATCCTTTCTTAAACTATAGCTTTCTTTGCGTGTTGAGACCTCAGTCTAGCATGTTTGGTGCTTTAGCCCTAACCTATGTGCTCTTGTGCTTCTTCTGTTTCCTAACATTGCTGTTATCCTGCTACTTTGTACCTCCCCCTTCTGGGCAGCTCTAGGTCCTGACTCATGTTCCATTGGTATGGAGGAGTAACTGGTATGTTGGCTTTCCTGTCTATTCTGCTTCTCTGTAAGCTTCATTTCAAAAATGTTTTACACTATTTCTAGTAATGGCTCCTAAAAATGTGTATGGTCTCACTAATTGAGTGTTTTGTTTTTTCTTTTAAGGTTCATCTGAGTCGACTGAAAGCCTGAAGAGTCAGAGCACTAACTGCTCGAGCCAGCCTCTCTTGTGCCCTTCGAGTAGCTATCGTTTGGAGGACGAGCACCTCGGCCCCTGAGTGTCATCATTCACAAACAGTCAACTCTTCAGATGCGACACAATATGGACATTTATCAGTCTCTAGAAAAGAGAGACTTTGTCAGTGATATTTTAACTTCATGTTTTGACCATGTTTTTGTAGGTCTTATACATTTCATTCCCTGTTGATATTTGAGATATAATGTTTCACTGCCGGATAAGGCGGTGCTTTTAAGCACACTTAACCTTGACTGTTTGTGACACTAATTTAGGAAATTTAAATGACTAAAGATGAAGTTTGTGTGTTTTGGTTGTGAACAGAGTTTTAAAGTCATGTTTTTTTTTTCTGTGATTTTGCACTCCAACATTATTCATTCAGAAAATATTCCCAACAACCTTTATCATCAATAACACCATTGTTTTATTTTAAAGTTTGAAATAATGTGACATATATGTATTATAACTGTATTAAGAAGCTGTTATTTGCTAAAGTGTAGAAATGCTTATTGTATAGAAACAAATCCTCGTATGAAACTTACTGATCATATAAACATGTTATTTAATACTTTAATAATCCATTAGAGCAACAGAGTTACCCAACAGCTGTATTCAAAGATGTGGCTAACGCTGCTTGTCTGCTCCCTCCAGTGGCTCGGTTGTATTACAGATCTCTGTATAGTTTCTGTGGCCATGAGACTCTCTGCTTCTGTGATGTAGCTCCATTTGTTTAGATCTATGTGCCTTTAACTGATACAGCGGCCTGCTTGTTGCATTGGACTTATTTGTTTTACTGTAAACTGTACAGTCATTTTTATCTGTTCTATTGGAAAAGTATCTTACTGTTTATATGCCATGTATCAATTATGCATTTACTCTGAACTATTAAGTAAGCTGATTTTTATCATACATATTTTTTTTTTTTCCAGAATACTTTTGTTGCAATAGTTTAAACTCTTGGTTTCTAAGCTTGCATTTGCATGTGAATATAAAAGCTTGAACCATGTTGCTTCTCCCTCTTATGTGCATCTCAGCTTTGATACTGTGCCTTCCTGTCCCTGTCCTGACCACTGTTGACCTGGTATCCAGGACAGCTCCACAGAATGTGGTTGTGGCTAAATGAACCCTCATTTCCTCTTCAGTGTATAGGTGCATGTGTAAAACAATAAAGGTAAATTAAAACAGCTATTGGGGGTTTTTATATGGGATCTACTGCTGCTTGTGATATTTGGCCTCTTGTGCACTCAAGCCTTTTATAGGATAAAAATGTATTCTGTAAATTAAGATGTTTTGGACCTAGTTTACACCAAGTTTAGTTTAGGCATATCCTTTTTTAGAAGTGTTGTAGTCCAGATTAAGATGTAGTGTTTATATTTGTGTAATTTCATGAGGCTCAAACTAAACATAGAAGGTATTTTACTTTCGATTAAAAAAACTGATAGACGGTGATTTACAAGTCCCAAGGCTCTACGTTTTATTCTTATTAATACTGCCCTCTAGTGTTGATTCACTGTACATTTCACTGCACTTGAAACAACACAAATATTAAAAAAGCGCACATTACACTATTGTCTGATCTGTTATTATGCTGTTTCCTCATCACAAATATACCTAGAGTTGTGTTTTGTTTCAATTGCACATGTTTAACACACAAACCTTGCATATTTAGAGATCTCTCAAACAGAAAACACTCTGTTCCACCTTGTGATGTCATGTGGTAATACAGGAAGTTCCCCAGTATTTTGAAATTCCATAACCTTCACATACTACAACATACTACATTTTCCACCCTAGAATTGCCAGTATCTACTGGACAAAAGGCAAAAGGTAACTGTTAACTGGAAAACTACCACCTCATGACATTATAAAAAGATGACAGGTTACAGCATTTTGAGCTTTGGAGATGTAGACAGACTAATAATAAAGGGTTCCACAAACATCTCTGAAAGAAACCAAACAAATCTCCATGTATATTTTTGAGGTGGTAACAACATTAAAACATGGCTAAAAGCTCACAAGAGTAGGCTACATTTTGTGCAGTATAGTACCTTTAAAGACAGTCTTCTTTCCCATAAGAACAACATTTTCCCATGCTACTGGTGTTACTTACAGTGTGTTTTTGTAAAGACGTTGATGCTTAGGTAAACATGGGTTACTGGTTTACAGAGGATCCAGAAGGCCAAGGATAAAAATATGTGTATCTTTCTCCAAACAACAAACGCATTAGTGAGAGAATAAGAATAAGAACAACCACACCCACCTCAATGTGTTCTCATATTTTAGGATATTTATGGCTTACGGTGGCTTAACAAACCGCAACAGACAAGCCAATACTGAATGTGCCAAACAACTTCATCTTTATACGTCATTGCCATTTAGTCACAGTAGGCTACTCTTTGGACCAGGATAAAAATATATAAATATATATATATATATATATATATATATATATATATATATATATATATATATATATATATATATATATATATATATATATATATATTATATTTATTTATTTATTTATAAAATGTAAATATAACATGTATATTAATAGTTTCCTCTGTTTGAAAGACATGTCATGGAAAACTCAAGTTATTTGCGGATACAAGTTGCTAAATGTGTAGGAGTGATGAAATGATCAAGTCATTTAATGAACCAGAATGCACTACTGTTATCGTATCATTCATTTGTAATGTCTTAATTAAATCACTGTGTTGAAGTGTGGGGAAATTGCTAGAAGACGCATGTACTGCCCTAAATTTCACTGCAAAAAGAGCCACCAGGATGGCTCACAAGGTCCACTATACACATCCAACAAACCCGCAGTTTTTAAAATCATCAGACTTAAAATGTCATGGTCTGGTAAACTTTAAAACAGCTCAAATTATGTTCAGGGCATCTATTAACTCTCTTACAGCTAATTTAAAGGATTTATTTCAAGTTCGAAATGCTCATCATAACTACAAACTTAGAGGTACAAAACATTTTATCAGCCAAAATTTAGAACTACTTTAAAGTCAATGTGCATCTCAGTATGTGAAGCTCATCTGTGGAATGGATTATCAGAAGAACAAAAAGTGTGTAAGAGCCTGGTCCAGTTTAAAAAGCTATTAAAATGAGAAATAATGAAAAAATACCTGGATGAGAGACAATGATGCCCTAAGCACAGAGCTTGATGTCAGGGTGCAGGGTCAGAGCGTGTTGGGTCAGTGTTGTGTCTGGACGAGTGTGTGAATGTTTGTTTTGTCTGTCTTGTCTTGTCATGTATAAAATACTAGTCTATTGAATATCTGAAGCGTCATTCTGTGAAGTGTGGGAGGGGATTGGAAATGTATAAGCTTTGAGGTTTTAAGTTTTATGAGGTTTTAATTGCACATTGGTCCCACATGCTCCTCAGGTAAAATCAATATAACAGATTCATGGCTTTCATAAGAGTAAACTGATGCTATAGATATGTTTTATTAGCTGTAAATGATCATTGCAGCTTTTTAGAGAGGGGCACTTTAATATGTACAGTATTTAAATAACTAATTTGAAGATATGCAAAGGAAAACTCTAGTAAAAACATTGTCAAACATATTCACTTTTACAAGACATTAACAGGTATATTTGAGCATATATTTAATGGACTGCAACATTATAATCTGATTATTATTAATGAGATGTTCACTTTATTTAGATATCAGAGATTGACAATAATTGGGCCAATATTGCAAAAAAAAAAGTAATATAATAATGGAATACTTAAAGCGTTTATATAATACCATATTTACTCTTGTGAGCCTTAAGCCATGTTAGAATGTTGTTACCTAGAGTTGTTACAAAAATACCCAAAGTTGTGTTTTGTTTCATTCACACATGTTTGAGTAACACTTTATTAGCCTGTCTACATCTCTATGATGTCATGCAGTGGTAGTTATAACAGCTACATTTTACCTTTTGTTTTTAAATCACCCAAATGATTCTAGTGTATGGAATTTAAAAACACAGTGGAGCACTTCCTGTATTATCACGTGACATCACAAGGTGGAACAGAGTGCTTTCAGTTTGACAGAAGAACTCCCTAAATATGCAGGTTATGTGTGTTAAACATGTGTGAACAAAACAGGTTAAAAGTTAACATTATAACATAGATCAGAAAATACTGTCATATAGGCTCTTTAACAGGCAACAGCTACCACATACAAAAAATACTTATACACTACTACTACCACCATCATTGCTATACCAGGACCTATGTGCACCATAAGTTGTATTCTCTTACGTAGGAGTAGTCTGTCGCATGAGGAAATGTCCAGCTGTCCTCATAAAGTTTTTCCATTACTGTTGCCAAACGGAAGCATTTGGACAAGTCCTTAATCCCCACAACAACTATTTCTGCTCTATCTCTGGGGTATCCACTAAACAATATTAAGGTTAAGCTGTGAGATGGGGACCTCTGGTATTGGAGAAAGAAATGAACTGTATCGCAAGTAAGAACTCTGATTAAGGGAGCTGATGTAAGTTGATCTGCATATATAAGAAAAAAAATCACTTTATAATAAGCTTAATAGAACCCTTAATAGAACCCTGTTTATATGGGAGTGAGCTGGTTTAGCTCTGGTCTCATTGGAGTACTCTCTTTTAATTAGTCTACAGTAAATCTCTTTGAGCTCCTTCTAATAAGTGGCAAATTCCTTAACCCACATGCCCTTGATCTACAAAAACATGTGCACTGCCCACTACAAACATGTACATGAGAGCAGAGCATATGTGGACATACATGTGTTCGGACTAATCCATCTTTAACTTAAATAAAACCAAAAATATCACTTGTATCTTCATAAAATTAACAAACACAATAAACATTTCACTTATAATGTGAACAGCAATGTAAGAGAGTCTCTATAAAATGCAGTTAGTGCTGTTCCAACTTTGTTTTTAATATTAAATCTAAATGTGGAGTCCTTCCAGTAATTTTAAATGACACGTGCCAAGATGGTTATCCTCCTTTAAGACGGCCACTTTGCAGGATGAGAAAAGGGGGCGTGGCACAGGGGGCGATCCAAGCACCTATGATCCCAAATAACACCACAGTCCCATCTCTGGAACGAAGAAGTTCACAGCTAGATCTGGGTGAACATCTTTGGCTACCACAGGAAAGGGTGACAGAGTGAATTTTACAGCTACTATAAGCTAAAACTATACATTTACATTGACAATGACGCAGCAGATGAGCAGTGGGTCTCCTTTTCTCAAGCCCTTTTTTTTGAAGACTCCAGTCAGTGTGGTGAGTTCGCTGAGGCAGAGGAGGCACACGCTACCAGCCAGCGAATTCAGGAACCTCACTCCACAAGATGCCATCAGTGTGTTTGAGATCGAAAGAGAAGGTAAGAGGACTTTAAAATACTAAAACAGCATTAAGATTTTACGTAAAAAAATATTAAAAGCAGCAGATACCAGGCTGAATGTATTGCCTAGATTATCTTTTTGAATGTGTCTAATGTGGCTTTTCTATAGATTAGTTTTTAATTACATTATGTTACCTCCTTTATCCGCAGCTTTTGTGTCTGTTTCTGGAGAGTGTCCTCTCACTCTGGATGAGGTGCTCAGTTTTCTGGGGCAGTGTCCTGAGTTGTCTCTGGGATGGTTTGAGGAGGGACAGCTAGTGGCTTTCATCATTGGCTCAGGCTGGGACAAAGAAAGACTCTCACAAGTAAGAACATTATACATATACAGTATTATCTGCCATTACATGGATTTTTGAAAATGTGAAAAACACGTAATTGTTATCTTTTACCTTAGTGTGTAAAGTTGTGCACAATGTCAGAGTGGTTAGCACTCTCACCTCACAACACATAGGTCTTGGGTCTGATTCCTGGATTCAGTAAGTGGACCATGTCAGTCCTCACACACAATGGATTAATTCTCCAGTTGGTAGGCTGCTCCTGACCAAGCACGAAGCTCAGCTTCAGAAAAGGTCCTGGGCACTGCCCCTTTACTGAATTAGTATACATTCCTTTATGGGGACAAAACAAAAATCTACCTTTCCCTATAAAAATGCTGTTGTGCATATTTGACATGTTTGTATTTTCGTTGTACCTCAGGAGGCCATGACGGTGCACGTGGCGGATACGCCCACAGTCCATATCCACGTGCTCTCGGTCCATCGTCACTGTCGGCAGCAGGGCAAAGGCTCCGTGCTGCTGTGGCGCTACCTGCAGTACCTGCGCTGTGTCCCAGGCATCCGCAGAGCTCTGCTGATCTGTGAAGACTTCCTGGTCCCCTTCTACCTCAAAGCAGGCTTCAAGGAAAAAGGGTCCTCTGCCATCACAGTGTCCAACATGCACTTCCAGGAGATGGAGTACTCGCTTGGAGGACAGGCATACACGAGGAGGAACAGCGGCTGCTAGTCTCACCAACCAGAGGAAAACCTATTTTGATGATGCAAAAGGACTGACAGATGATGATGATGATGATGATACCGTCAATCCAAGTCCAAAATAAATCGAAAAATGGGTTAACTTAAAATTGTATAGCTGCCAACTTCCTATTTATCTAATGTTTCTTGTCATAACGTGTATGCTGTTGGATACAGCTGTCTCTAGAAATCTTTTTTATTTTTGTAAATCTACATAAAATAATATATAACAATTTATCTTATATTATGAAGTTAATCTGTAAGAAATATACTGGAATTAAGATACAGAAGTGAAAAAACACAAGTCAAGGTATTTGTTGATATTTGTAAGTTACCATGTTGTGCTCAAAGTTGATTATGGAATAGGTGGTCATAATTTAACCTGTAAGCACTTACCTGTGCTCAAACATATACAGATGTATTATACACCTTTCAGTGCAGTGACAGGCAAAATGGAAAATAGAAATCCTTACTTAGGCTTTAAAAAACCTTGTATGATTTTGATTGTTTTATCACAGACGCCCAGTTGTACTCTCTATACAATAGAGCGGAAATGAGTGACTTATACTCCACACATGATTTGAGTTTAGTTCTTTTTTACTGTTATTTTCAGTTACATGTGAGTAGCCAGGTAGCTAAAACACTACCACATTCAGAACAACCATCACTTCTTGAGAAGCAATAAAGAAATAAAACATTCGAGTGCTCAGCAAACTGTAACAAAATTATGGCAGTAGTTGGTACATTTTCTGAACAAGGCACCAAAGGTTTTGCAAGAATTAATTTTTTTCCCTGCGTTTCTGTGACGTTGCCTGAATTGTAATAAAACTTTGAAGTTATAAAGTAAAAATTCTCTTTGTTTTTCTATAACCTCACATGTAAAGGGTAGCTTGACGAGGCTTAGAAAAGATATACCTTATTTTGACTGTGGTGACAATGGCAAGTAAACACATAGCAAGTCCATCCAATATTTAGTCTGATAAAAAACACAAGCATTTCACCATAGTTCACAGGAAACATACATCGCCCCCTTCTGGAGACATACACTGACATCCATATACTGTCCTTGTAGTCACATGAACATCCCCTGGTTCAGTGTAGGTGGGCATTCAGATCATACTTCTCACAAAATTTGTCCGTGAAGGGGATGCATGTGATCAGCTCGCACCACTCGCACTTGATTGGGTAGACGTAGAATAGCACCACGAGACCGGAAAACAGCCCAAAAAACACCAGCAGAAATACAATAATCTGGCAACGCTTTCGGTACAGGTCCATGCGCCCGAAACTGATGTAGGGCAGGAAGGCAAACGACAGGAAGAAGCCAGAGATAAAGCCGCAGATGTGGGCGAAGTTGTCGATCCAGGGCAGTAGACCAAATGCGAACAGGAAGAGGACGACGCAGAGAAGTTTGGTGAAGGCCCTCCAAGGTTGGGCGAGGATCTGCCAACTCTGGAATAACTCCACGAACAGACAGGCCAGGATGCCAAACTGTGAACCCGCTGGACCAACCTGGGAATGGGAAAGAGTGGGTTAGATGTGGGCAACGAAAAATCACAGTTTAGTGATTGAATTTGGCATAAAGTAATTGTTGTGGCTTGAAATCATAACCGCAAGTTAACAATAAAAATACATGTGTAGCTGAGTAGGTGGAGCTGTGAAATTAACCGAATTTTAGAGAAGACATATTGTGCTAGAGCCTGCTATATAGTCGTATGACACTTCATTCGTGGATCATTATGTTATAATTTGCATGTTTTCATTGTGGATTTTTTTTTTTTTTGGTACCAAATTGACTATGTGACACTGCCGAATCTTTCACATATCACCAATTTAGGAAATACAATTGAGGAAATACAAATTGAGTACAGAGCAGTGGGTGTATGCTGGTGGCAGTGAAGACAAGGATTATGGCAATATGGTGTCTTGAAAATAAGTGATTAAAGATTACTCATACATGCACAAATCACTCCAAATACAACTTTGAGAGGGTAAATGAGAAAGAGAGACAACTATAACATGGTTAAATGCTCGGAAAAGTCAATTTTGCATAATAGTTCTGCTTTAAATGGTATAGAGATTCAGTCATTTCCAATTGGTAAAGGCCTTTTTAATCGACAGGTCCACAGCCTCGTCTTCTGTCAATAAAAGAATGTGGTGCATTTTGAGGAGATAAATAGCAATGATTAAATCTACAGTGTGCATGTCCAGAAAACTAATATGGAGATACATTTATTAGTTTATAATAAGACAAAACTAAATAGAAAATCATGATCAGGAATACAGAAGGATAGATAATATTTTTGTCATATCACCCAGCCTATGAGGATGAAATTATATTGTGTTTAGCAAAGTCTTGGCCAGTTTACTGTTCTTAAATTTCCTCTTCCAAATCCCCAGGCAAAAAATATTCCCACACAGTAACACTAGTATTAGACTGTGCTCATGACTAATTGAAAATTCAATCTTATATGATATGATTACATACAAGTGAATGCAACTATATACACCCTATATTCAATTACATGGCCCTATCATGTTGGTAAATTTGAGTCACCTCTGCTCTGTATGGGAGAAAAATGGCCGAAGCCAAGTTGCCGGTGATGCCGCTGAGGATGTAGATGATCGATATCCGCAGCCAGCCCGCCAGTTTCTCCAGGTCTCGCAATATGGTCATTTGGAAAGCCACAGACACCAGACAGTGAAGGATCCTAAAGAGAGAAGGATATCAGCTAACATCACTATAAGACCAAAAGTGACAAATGCAATCACAAAATAATGAAGCATTGTCTTAAAATAAATAAGCATTGTCTAAAGAATGTAATTGAGGGATCAAAGTGCAGTTATTATTAAAGTTTAGTTTAGTTTAGTCTTTATTTGAAGGGACAATGTACAGATACCTTAAGCTCATAAAAATCAGATTCCGTACCACATTATAGCTGGTAGTAAACAGGTAGTTCCATCTACATAATTTGTTTTAGTCTTACAATGACAATGAAGACACCCCAAAGTCTTATTATGTAGAAAATATTGGATATAACATCCCCACTGATAAAATTATTATACTGCAGTAGATTATAATCGCATACATGCAAAGTTGCTTATGAGCATTTCTTACACCAGTGATCACATTGGTTCAAATACTTGGATTTGAATATGGCTCTTGGGGAAAAAATAATTGCCCACCCAGGTGGTAGAGGTTAGTGAATGATAAAACCAGCCAGCGACGAGTGCAGCAAAAAAACTAAAAAAAGTAGGTCAGATTGACACTAAAACTGTTGTTGTCCCTGTTCTGTCATGGTTATTTTTCAAAACATCAAACTGACAGTGGAGGCTATAGGTGCAAACATAAAGTGATGATGTGAGTCTAAAGAAACCTCACGTGTTGTAAAGGTAATCCCCCCCTGTAAGCCCTCAACAATAGGGCCTGAAACACTCCATATCTCATTGAGGCTTAATGAGTTTGAGGCGAGGGGCACTTTGTGTAATTACCCCGAGGGCAGATAGCAGACAGGCAGGAGATGATGGAACTTCTTCTTAACAGTGAGGTCAGACAATAGGCAATTTTACATGGATTTCTATTTATGCAATTTATAATCTAATTCAATGCTTTAACATCTCCTTTTATGTAACAATGCAGCAATAGTTCAAATGGTGAGTGAGGATGCCCTTTAACCCTGTGTGCAGGAGCAATACTGAGTTAGATTTACTCGAGTTAGAAATTTCCATATTGATAATGAATTTTTTATTTTTATTTTTTTATATTTCATTTATAGGATTTCATGAGTAATAATAAAAAACCCTCTAAATGCCACACTACTAGAAAATAATAATCTTAAAATAATAATAATTAAAGAAAGAAGGAAATTAAAAATAAAAACAAAAAAAAGGTCAGTCTTCATCAGACCAGATTATATTTTTGTCCTTTGTCCAATTACATCACCAATCAGATGTTTCAGGCTGGACATTTTATGATCTGGTGTTAGTTGTTGGCTCATTTAATCAGTGTTAAATTTCATTGGATCATTTAAGGTTAACTTGACTTCAACTCTCTTTCTACAACTTTTACAGAGAGTAAGAAAAATTTGTCATGTAATCTAGAAATATCCGTTAATGTTTCCAACTCAGCTTCATCCAGACAGTAAATATATTCAACAATATTAAAGTCAATATTGTATCTATCAGGTGTTCTTTGTGATTAAATCTACTGAAATATGAGCCCTGTGTAACAAACAGCTCTGATTCAGATCTTTTAATAACATGTTTTTGCCTCTACGTATAAACACAATTTTTAACACTGATCTGATCTATTTGTTTTCTCAGATAACTCCAGGAGTGAATGAGAACAAATGCCATGTTTTCAATAATATTAGCTTCAAAATATGTTACTGATGGATTCTTTTATAATTAAATTGTATAATTAAAATTTTTTAAATCATTTTCAATTGTAAAATTAGTTAGACTCACCCAGCGTGAAGGAAAAGAGAGAGCCAGAGCCGGTAAAACTGATCTGGGATCTCAGGGTTGAGAAACGGGAGCAGCCCACAGACATTATCCATACAGTGCACCTGTGGAAAACAGTGTAGGCTTTAATAAATGAGAAATTAAACTTTACTAGACAAACTTAAAGCAAATAATAATAAATAATAAAAAACACAAATTTGTGGGTGTGTACAAGGAAATACAATATTATACAATGTAAAGAGGAGGGATAAGGATAAGTAACAATAAGGATTTGGTTGTAATGCAGTAAGATGAAAATGGTTAAACTTTAGGGTTCAGCTCAAATAAAAGTCTCTTACCTGTGAGCAGAGAGTGGCCTCCTCGTGGAAGTAGCCCATCATGAAGTCGCAGTATTCTCGAGATGTGATTTCACATCTTTAATAACAGAAGACACAGACATTATTATTTAGTGATCAGGTCGAATGTGTGAGCCTAAATGTTTGTTTTGTAGATTCACGGACCTTCCTTTGGTTCCGATGCAGCACGGTCGCCCGGTGATGGTGCAGTCGATATGAGGCAGGTTGGTGTGGTTCCCTGTGTTGTACCTGGTGCAAATCTGTGAAGGAAAACAAGTTCAGAGTCTATAACATAATATTTAAAGTTAGATCAGATTGTGATCTAATGTAACCATTGTATTTTTATTTATTATTATTATTATTATTATTATTATTATCCTTTTTTCTTGTTTTGCTAGAAAGAGGACTGTAGGGGAATGGGCTGTTATTATGATTATTATGATTATGTTCCTATGTTTCCAATAATGATTTAATGAAAAAAACAAAACAAAACTGAATGTTGGCCAAAGTAATTTAAGATAAATAACAAAAAATAGGATACAATTCAATAATGTGGTATGTGTTTTAATAATGACAGGATTTCACAATATTGATTACAGTGATGATAACTAAATATCTGGGGCCATACTTACAGGCCATTTGGTGATG